TTGTCTATATTTATTTAAAGTTACGCATTTTGATGTGACGTCACATTTCTCACCCCCCCCCCCCACATCGTCACAAATGTCTGACCCCCCCCCCCCCCACGTGCGTGACGTCATTTATAGACGGCCCCTGTATACACTGTAGGTCAATTCTCGCTAACTGTGGCACTTTTCAGGAACGCATCTATCCCATTAAACGAGCAATGACTCGTACTTGCTCTTATTATTTGTGAACCAGACCACCCCTTTGCCCCCATAGTATGAAGCACTAACTGGACAGCAATATCAATTTTCCAGTGGCATAATCGAGCCGCGCCGGGGCCATGCTGAGCAAAGCCATGGCGGTTCGGGTGGTGCTGGTTGTGTTTTCCATTGCAAAATACAGAGCCGCCCCAAGGGTACGGCGAATCGAGGCGACCGCCCTGGGCCCCACGCTTCGACGTCCCAGTGTCAGATGTACACAGGGTGCTTAAAAAAAGAGATTCATACTCATGTGGGACTATCGTTTTTAACGGAAAAAGAATATGATAACAAATATATGAATACAACAACCACCGTTCACCATTAAGTGGTGGGGCTGTCACCACGACGCTTATGCCATGCTAGCTGCACTTTAAGGCCAGGTGAAGTGTTGAGGGCTTGCTTTGTTGGTGGTCACGGAACAGACCCAGGTGTCATGGGTTGACCGATTACTGGCAAATGCACCAACTGTGCTCCCCACTGTGCCAACGTTTCTGCATTTTAGCCTCCCGACGCTCTGCTCGTTACCAACGTCGCTCCACTGCCCTCTGTTGTTGCTGGACAGTGACTGCCTCCAATTCCCCAGTAGCGTTCTGAACGAGTCTCCTCCAGTCTGATCTTCTTGACTGCTGGTACCAGTCATGGGCAAGTCCACTCAGCTCCACATCCTTCTGTACCACATCAATCTCTTATCTAGCCCGTGCCACACCTGTTTAGCACCATTTGTCCGGCCAAACAGAATTTGCTTGGGAATGCAGTGGCTGAGCATGCGGGCGACATGACCCAGCCAATGCTGATGGCAGTGTCTAGAGCTTTAAAGGAGTTTTGAACTCGCACAATCCAGTGGATAATCTCACGAAAGATCATAGTAGGCTGGCTATGCTGAATGTTTCAAACGGCACAGATTTTCCTTTAAAGGGCTCGACGTTTCGCAAGCATACATACGTGAGTGGCCAACAACTGTGGCCAAAAAGACCTGGAGACAGGCCAGGTAGCTTCCACAAAGCGTTACGCAGCTGATGAAAACATACCACTAGACCAGGGGTCGGGAACCTATGGCTCGCGAGCCAGATGTGGCTCTTTTGATGATTGCATATGGCTCGCAGATAAAACAAAATATTCTCACTTGTTTTAATCCATCCATCGATTTTTCACTGCGCATGTCCTGTTCAGGGCTGCAGGAGCAATTGTCCATTATTTTAATTGGATGATACTGGCCTACGTTTGCCGTTGCTGGGTAAAACAGGTAAACGCCCCCTTTTGAATCAGTCTGAGACTGCGTCTGCTCGGTCATTAGCTCAAAGCTAACCCTTCGACGAAGAAGATGGCGAAAAGAAAAAAAGACGACGAGTATCGTACATTTCAGGACGAATGGACCGAAGAATTCGCCTTTGTGGAGAGAGCGGGTTCTGCGGTGTGTCTAATTTGCAATGACAAAATTACATCGTTGAAACGGTCGAATGTAAAGCGGCACTTCGACACGCGCCACGCTACCTTTGCATCAAAATACCCTGCGGGAGACAGCAGAAAGAAAGCGTGCCAAGAGCTTCTGAGCAGGGTGCCAGCTAGCCAGCAGCAACTCCGCGTATGGACCCGGCAAGGTGACTATAATTCGGCTAGCTTTGCTGGTTCTTTAGCAATAGTGAGGAACGGAAAACCATTCACAGATGGCGAGTATGCTAAAACGTTCATGCTGGATGTAGCCAATGAACTTTTTGATGATCTTCCGAACAAAGACAAGATAATCAAACGGATACAAGACATGCCTCTGTCGGCAAGAACTGTTCATGATCGTACCATCGTGATGGCAAACAAAGTGGAGGAAACGCAAGTGAAGGACATAAATGCAGCGCCGTTCTTTTCTCTGGCTTTGGATGAGTCAACAGACGTGAGCCATTTGTCGCAGTTCAGCGTGATTGCAAGATATGCTGTTGGTGACACACTGCGCGAAGAAAGTCTTGCTGTTCTGCCATTAAAAGGGTCCACAAGAGGTGAGGATTTATTCAAGTCTTTCATGGAGTTTGCTCAAGAAAAAAGTCTACCTATGGATAAACTTCTCTCAGTGTGTACTGATGGTGCTCCGTGTATAATGGGGGAAAACAAAGCATTTGTGGCGCTTCTCCGTGAACATGAAAATAGACCCATCCTAAGTTTCCATTGCATTATACACCAGGAGGCACTTTGTGCTCAGATGTGTGACAGGCAGTTTGGCGAAGTGATGTAGCTGGTCATTCGTGTGATCAACTTTATTGTTGCCCGAGCCTTAAATGATCGCCAGTTTAAAACACTGCTGGATGAAGTTGTAAATAACTATCCTGGTCTGCTTTTGCACAGCAATGTGCGTTGGTTGTCAAGAGGGAAGGTGCTTAGCCGTTTTGCGGCTTGCCTGAACGAAATCCGGACTTTCCTTGAAATGAAAGGCGTCGGGCATCCTGAGCTAGCCGACACCGAGTGGCTCCTCAAGTTTTACTATCTCGTAGATCTGACTGAACATCTGAACCAGCTCAACGTGAAAATGCAAGGCATTGGAAATACAGTGTTATCCCTTCAACAAGCTGTATTTGCTTTTGAAAACAAGCTGGAGCTTTTCATCACGGATCTTGAAACAGGTCGTTTACTACATTTTGAAAAACTGAGCCAATTTAAAGATGCATGCACAGCAAGTGAGCCCATTCAAAACCTTGATCTCCACCAGCTAGCTGGCTGCACATCCAGTCTCCTACAGTCCTTCAAAGCACGCTTTGGAGAATTTCGTGAGCACACTCGTCTTTTTAAGTTCATCACCCATCCAAACGAGTGTTCACTGAACACAGCCGACCTGAATTACATCCCTGGTGTCTCCGTCAGAGATTTTGAAGCAGAAGTGGCTGACCTGAAGGCCTCAGACATGTGGGTGAATAAGTTCAAGTCACTGAATGAAGATTTGGAAAGAATCACACGACAGAAAGCGGAGTTGGCGAGCAAGCACATGTGGACAGAAATGAAAAAACTCCAACCCGAAGACCAGCTGATTCTCAAAACTTGGAACGCGCTTCCTGTCACATACCACACACTGCAGCGTGTGAGTATTGCTGTATTGACCATGTTTGGATCTACGTATGCATGTGAGCAGTCATTCTCACATCTTAAAAACATCCAGTCCAACCTACGATCACGTTTAACGGATGAAAGCCTCAACGCTTGCATGAAGCTTAACCTCACCAAGTACCAACCCGACTACAAAGACATCAGCAAATCCATGCAGCACCAGAAGTCGCATTAATGGTGAGTGTTATAACAACATTATTTAAAAGAATAAATTCAGAGGCTTATTATACTGACATTTAGTTGAATTCACTTTTAAAATATATTATATGGCTCTCACTGAAATAAATTTCCAAATTTTTTGCTTTCATGGCTCTCTTAGTCAAAAAGGTTCCCGACCCCTGCACTAGACTGATTCAGTGAGGCCTCGGCTGCCAAACTGGAGCTGATCATAACAACCGGCATTCACCAAAAAGTGGCGGTGACGTCACCACAGCGCTTGTGCCAGGCTATGTGCACGTTCAGGCCATGTGAAGTATCGAACGCATTAGGCAGGTCACAGGGCAGACCCAGGTGACATGGGTTGACTGAGATGTTCTGACCAATGCCCCACCTGTGCCAACTTGCTGTTTTAGCTACCCGGCGCTCCTCTGCCCTCCGTTGTCGTTGGAGGGCAACTGCCTACAACTGCCCAGCAGCATCCTTCACGAGCTTCCTCCACAGAGGCCAATTTTGACATCGCTGGTACCAGTCATCTGCAAGTCCAACCAGCCCCACATCCTCTTGTACCACATCACGCCATCTCTTCTCTAGCCACTTTAGCTAGCACCTGACAGGTCATAGAAGGCATCTGACTCATTGGTCTTGCCTGCATCCCTCCACTGATGTTCATCTTCAGTGGGGGCATAAGTAACCACGATCACCACTCCTCGCCTCTGGTTGATGGCAAGACGAGCACAAAGTATGCTGGGGCTTGCAGCTTCCCACACCTCACCACCACGCTCCCTTCATTATTTTGTTCAGAAGAGCCACTCCCTGTTGTTTGGCAGTCTCCTGCCCCGAGTAGAGGACTGTCCACCCCTCATTGTGGCAGGAGCAAGAGCCGGTCCACTGGACCTCCTGAATACCAGCGATCCAGGCGGTACCGGTCCAGAGTAGCAGTCTCTCCAAATCAGTGAGCGTTCCACGTGGCCACCCGCAGTGGCTTTTTTGCTGTTTTTGGAGGAACCCCGAGGGTAAGGATTCAATCTCCTGGCTCCACAAAATGGGGTTTGGCCAGGAGACGTCATCGACGCCTATCCCCCCCCGCCCCCGGGGTCTCCGGTACAAGCTTAGTTGGATATTTGTTTTCGTGGTATAGTGGTAATTGAAGATGGAGGGGTTACCAGCCCATCACACCCATCCAGAGCCCCCTTTGGCCGCTGGTGGCCACAAATGCCATGGGGGGAATGGCCAATAAAAAATTGGCCCTCCCCCCTTGGCACTGCTCACCACAGCGTTACTGTCCGGTACCAATGAGGTAGGGGGGTTTTGCTGGTCATAAGTACACTGACAAACGGACATCGTGCAATGAAAACGTGATCCGACCCGTTCTTGGCCTGCTTGGTCCCTTGCCAGATTCTTGTGAGGCCCAGCAATCTCTCGCAGATACAGCAGCCACCTGTCAGACGCCACTGCATGTTGTACTTCGCAATCACAAAACGAATTTCAACAGTGACAAACCACACAGGGACGAGCAGTAGAAGATAGATTTGTATTTATTTCAGCTTGCAAGTTTCTTCCCCAGCAAAGGAACACGTAAAACGATGATGAGATCGAAGACACAAGCAGTATTATGTAATTAAAAAATAAAAGACGAAAACACCTAACACCCATCCATTACTCCTTAGTGCAAACACAGGCTTTTATTTTCTCTTAATGCAGTGGATGTTTAGCCTCATGTCGTGACTTCCCCATCCAACATGAATAAATAGAGCAATAGTTTACATCTAAACCACTGTTTCTACAAATCTTGACACTGCACGCACTGCTGTTGAGAACAGTGAATTACTACACACTACGAGACGACCAATCCCAGCCTACCCAGTGGTAAGTGATGGTGAAACTATATACGTAGTCTGCAATACAGTGAACACACATCAGCAATGATTCAGTGCCACCAAAATGGTCCGACAGAATTGCATCGATTCGCCCTCTCCCCCCCCGCAGGGACGAAAGGAGGCGCATTGTCGCGAGTGGTATTACCTCTTGCGAAATTCCACGTAGGTCGGTCTTTTACAGTTGTGCGGGCGAACCCGAGCACCTTTGCGGTGGAATATCTAGATTTTATCATCAACACCGACTCCAATCAGTTGGACAACTTTGGTGTCACATGATTAATCGCTAATGGACATGAAAATACATTTTTTTCTCATCGATATAATATATATTTTTTTGCTTTCGAAGCAAACACAAGCTTGCTGGGAAAGCAAATGCACCCGCGACCCTTACCCTCGCCCCCAAACATTTACACATGTGTGACATGTAATATATTCAGCTCTGCCATTCTGAACGTCCACAGGGTTTGCTATTAAGACTACATGGCGATGTGTAGCCTCGCACACGCTGCTGCACGGCAACGAACGGTTGAACGGTGGCATATTTCGCTGACGAGCTCTGTCACGTGAATGGGAAGCACCGAAATTTCTCGCTCACGCTGCTGCTGGCAGAAGGGCCCCAAGACAGGAGTTTTCCTACTCTTCCCCACTGACCAGGCGTCCTTGGAAGGGGTGGGAGTTATCCACGCTTTCGCCCACCACACACACGACCTGCTGCTGCTCATCAAATGTGGTACAGACAGAGATGGGGAGAATAAAAAAAAGACTCGCCGGTCGTTTCAACTGCTCTGCCGAGAGATCGAATTGAACTGGTGACCTGGATTGCGAGTCCGGTAGAGTGCTGCTCACCACTACATCGTGGCAGCATTAAGGGGACTCTCATTCCTTTAAATAAAAAATAGCAAAAAAAATCGGCCAATTGCTTATCTGCCAAGGAGGCAGCGAATCAACATAGCCACGAGTTGCAAGCCCTCTCCGCTCATCAACGATGTGCGGCTAACAGTTATACATAGGAAGGTGACATTAAGTGAGCTTCACTGCCACCAAAAAGGCGGTTTTCCAGCTGATGCATCATCACAGATTTTGACAACAGCTCCAAAATGATGGGGAAGCCGCCGTTTATTTATACACTTGAGCACAAGCGCCAGTCGAGTTTGGTGGACAATGAATGAAAGAACGCCAGCCGATGCGGTAGCATACGTACTTCTCCCAAGTTCCCCACGATTAAAGGACTCGCGCCAATATGCCACGTTACCCAGCTCCTCTGCACGCGACCAACAGCTGTGCCACAAACATTAACCACGTTAACAACCACTTATAGCGAACGGACAGATTCATTATAAGGAAATAAAATAAAACGATAGTGAACAAAAAAACCAGGGATAATGAATGCAGATATACCGTTTCAGAATTGTGACCATTTTGTGCACGAACATGTTCCCCCCCCCCCGCATCTTAATACATACATGCAGAGTAAGAAAACTAATTCCTTTTTTTGTACCGTTGTGTGTACGCGGATGCCACGGTTGCTTTACATTGCAAAGTTGAATGCATTTCAATACCATACCTTTATAGAGTAAACAAAAACATCTGAACGAAACATTAACCAGCATGCAAAAAAATGGCACAAAGGTATACGTTGTACATTACTCCTCTTGAGCCGTGCAGAGCATGGGTGTGGGAATGGGAGGTCAGGCAGGGTTCAACCAAACCAAGTTGGAATTCTGTATCCCTTCATAGAGCTCTGTCCCTGTGACAACAAATGCCCTCTGCGGCTGGAGAAAAAGATAGACGTGCGAGTGGGGAGGAGTTCAGGCATGTTCGTAGATGGGTTGGACTGAACTTGATTAATATACCCACTTTTAGAGCTGTCAAATCGATGACAAATTCTCTTTGCAGCTGGAAACGGACAACTTTGCACACAACTAACCTAACGGTACCCGTTCTCACGTAAACCCGTCATCTTGACCCACTGCGAGTAGCCACCACCTTGAAATACGTGGCTAGTAACAATTCACCCTGCACAGCAAACCTATGAATTGTAAAGATTCAGGATGGTGCCATTGAGAAAATTTGATTTTCTTTGTTCTATCATATAACCCTTCTTTTGTATTGTTTATGAAGATTTTTTTTGCCAGGTTTATAAGCAATTTTTCGCACTTATCGTAAACATAACAATAGCATGCATTCGTACAAATCATAAAAATAATCAATTCATAGGCTCACAATTCGACACGCGTCGCCACGAGTGCCGGTATCTACAAGTAATCCGCAAAATTAACTGCGATCATCGCGTGCCTAACACCTACCACCCACAACCGCCTCTGCTCACCTTACCTCCATCTCTTAACCTTTAATATCAGACAAAACGCAGGGTTCACAGAGCTGGATTGACACCCGGCCTAAGCCAACCCCACCAAACCCTGCCTGACAGCCCTCGAGCAAAGTCTGCACGGGTACTGATCCAAACCCAAACAAAAAAAGAAAGATAATACAGGTCTTAATACAGAACGTACATACATAAGGATAATACAGTTGCGATAAATCAATGCGGCAATCAGTAAAGTACACTTTTCACAGCTTGAAGCGTTAGTGATATAATAATACTGATATAATTTGCTATACAAAATGCGGGGACGGACAAAGCATTGTTTTTATTCATCAGTGGCACTGTATGAAGGTGAAAATCTGCACAAGCAAAGTCTGCGTCGGCTCAACTGTATTCACTCTCTCGGATCGTTTAAAGTTGTCCCAGATGGCAATCGATTGCATTTTTATTTTATGTAATAATAACATGACGGGTCCACGATTCACACGGGTGAATGTTACTCCCTTATCCGGGTGTTGGCAAAACCGGAGGAAAAAAATATTCACCGTCAATAACAGGGGGTGGGGGTTTGCCAACGCAATTCAGGCAAGATGTGAATATCGCCGCAACCCTAAATCGATGTTAAGTTTAGAGTCAAGGTTTTTGCAGTAAAAAAAATGCAACAGATTCCGATAGAGGTCGCTCGAAACAAACCTCGAAAAACGTGAATGCTGGGGCCACTTTAATATAATCTTTTCGAACGCGAACGTCCATCGGTCAAAGAGGACGGTTTTGAAAGATTTCCCCTCGTCACAGCGCAGACAACTGTAAAAACCTACGCACGGGAAGGGAGGGTGGGAGATGGGGGTCACGATGCCTAAAGAGGATAGCGGGTGCACGCTCGCCCGTGTTTGGGTGTCCCGCGGCAGCCGCCAAGGCGCCAATTGCCGACAGGGCTTGCAAAATATGAACGCAAGCCAAGCGGCAGCAACGCGCACGCGCACCTCGTACGCGCCCAGTGACGTACCCCCCCCCCCCACCACCAATCACAGGTGGCGGCACACCAACACACAAACCACAAGGCAGTCTTGTGCGCTTCGTTCAATAACAGCGGTTTGTGACAATTTATTTTATCCAGGTGCCCCATCATTGCCACAAATGAGCAGAACCTCTCACTTGTGACGGGGGGGTTGGCGTGCGCCAAGAGAGCGAGCATCACCGGGTGGTTTGGTTTGGGTGAAACGGCGGTATTTGAAAGTTACCATCGCCACGAGCACGTTTGCCCGAGTTAGGCAATGTTGTCGAGTCGCACGTTCCCCCTTCGTGCAAAATCTAGCAAATACAAAAAGGTTACGATGGAATATAAGAACCAGAGTGGTTATCCGTGATGTAACGCAACCTGCGATAAGCTTTGTGCGGAGCGTTGATTTCAACGTAACTGTGGACTATTGGCGGTGAATGCTTGAGCAAGCCTATGCAAGCAGCCGTTTCACCCAACCCGTCTGCCTTAGCCACCGCACAAGTTTGGCTGGCCTTGGTGCGAAGCGGAAATGACAGGGACGGATGAACCAATCGCCGTGGATTTCGGCGAGCGGGGGGGGGGGGAAATAGGTAAATATTCTGCCTCACGCAAGACAAGCATGCCTTTCTTAGACATACCAATATTGAGCATTACTTCCAGGGTGTTCAACTGCCGTCTGTATTTTGATACAAATCTGTAAACTTGACCCCCCCCCCCCCCTTCCTCTGTAGTCCTAATTTTATTTTGGGTTGGTGTTTTTGCTCGTTCGTGAAATGCCGACTCGCGCCCATTTTGTTAATCGTCCCAGTGGCTTACAACGCTGCCGATATCCATCAGGCCAATCCCATAATGCCCACGAGTTGTTCAGGACTTCCTCTCATGCTCGAAGATCGGCTTGTTTCGGACCCACGATCTAAACTGTGGCACTACTACGGGACTCTCAAGAGGGGGCATTTTGACTCGACACCCGGACCCCGCAGCCGTTCACACGCGACCCACGCCAGCAAAGAGTTGAACGCCAATACCCAGCCTTTCACGGAGCATGCATACCCTGCAGTTCACCGGATTACCTTGCATCATCTCTATGCGGATTCACCGATGATGCACGGCATCCGTCGCCGACACCTGCTCCTATTTGTCGGTATTAACCCTGCACCGTCACGCGTCACTGAAAGTTAAAAGAAGAAAATCTGTACAATGTAAGCACGCAGCCACGGCTTGCTATTTTTTGTTGTTTTTGTTTAACTTAGAATGTAACAAATGGCTTAAACTTGCTGGTCTACAGCACAGACGTTGTACGCGTGGCTGTTGAAGAGGAGCTTCTTTTGTCACCTACTGTACGTCGTCGCGCCTTGCTGCGCAGAGCTGTCAGTTTTCGAGCACAACTAACCCGAGAAGGAAAGCTATTTTTTTTAACGTGGTTTTCTCTCCGTTTTTTTACAAGGCACTCTTTCTATGCAAGCTTTTCTCGTATCATAAAAAAACCAACACATTTCAAGTAACCTTAAGGACCAGTATTAATATTCACATTTACAAATAAACCCAAAGCTCAATAAACACAGACAAGCACATCAAATTCTTTAAAGTGACAAGTTACAAAGCCAAAGACTTTTTACATAGCAGCTGTTTTTACTGATCTATACCCAAAATTGGCTATAAATTGTTTTAAAGTTTGCATTTTTCAATGTGTCTAGTTACTTTTGCCAGCAGGCGTTGCCATTTCTTTCACCCCACACACGCCATTTTGTAATCGTCTGTGCGACCTCAATTAACGCTCTCCATCTGTTAGATATTTTTGTTTTGTAGGTTTCATCGCGTGGCCCTCGATAACCAACAGACATTTACAGCAACAAAAAAAAAGGCTACTCGCGCAAACTCGGCCAATCACTTGTGACGAAGTCCGCGATTATTTTACATTGTGCTCACAAATGCTGTCTCGAATGAACCCTTACACCCGCCCCCCCCCCCCCATGCATTGTCAACTCTACTCCCCCCCAAATCCACGTCCCTAGTGTTATACCAAACCAGCACCCACAAAACAAAAACCATCTCTAACATCCCGCAGACGTTCCACTTTAGCAGAAGAAAAAAAAAACAATCGCGATGCTAAGAAGTGCCTTCGGTGCAAGGACATTAACTTTTCAAATTCACATCTCTCTGTTCGACCCAATTACATTCAACAATTTGCCAATCAAATTGACCCTTTTCTGTTATTTAATTCCCCCTTCTTTTCTTTTCATCGCATTTCACTTTCCCCCACGGAGTGGTTGCCAAATTCTCAAAAAATAGAAATTTTTGGACACTTGGTAAGGTAGTCACGTTTTTTGTCATTTCGAGGTCTTGCGTAATCTATTTTTTTTTGTTAAACTAAACGGAACACAGAGCCAGGTTACGCTTTCTGCAGCCCCAGCAACTCGCTTCCAAAGCAGGCCACCCACGTGATCTACATTTCACCTTATTTCCTTCCGCGAACGACCTTCCCCGACGACCCCCACAACTCCCAACACAAAATCAACGGCACGCTTTCCCACCCGCGGAGTCAACCGCGGAGTCAACCGCAGCGGTAAACGCGCGGCGCCCTCTGCCTCCCCCTCTTAGGTGGTTCTGAGGTTCGGCCCGGGCGGTTGAAACCGTGCCAACTCCACCACCGTTGCCACCACCGCCGGCGGTGCCGACGCCACCGCCGACGCCACCGCCGACACCGCCAATACCGCTGCCTATGCCGCACCCGGGCTTGGCCGCCAAACCCGGCACGGGAAAGGGAACGATGCCTGGGTACGGAGTGGTCAGAGCCGTGGGAGGGAGGCTCGCGGAGGCGACGGCGGAGAGGACGGCGGCGGCCACTACCGGGGTGGTGGCGGAGGAGGGCAGCGGTGGCCCCGGCGCGCTGGGGTTGACGGGCACGCGGGCCGGGCCCTGGAAGCCCGGCGGGACGGCGACGCCGCAGGGGAACTGGCCCGCGCACATCGCCCCCGGCAGGATGTATGGCGGCACCACAGTGGCGGTCGGCAAGGCGTTGGCGATGGAGCCGCCGCTGCCGGCGCAGCTGCCCAAGCACGAAGTGGCCGGGGGTGGCGGCTGAGCTGGCGCGTACATCCTGAGCCCGGGCTGCACCTGCATGTGCCCCCAGGGAGACACCCGAGATCGGACGGTTCCGACGTTAACCCACAAAAGCCAATCTGATGCAAACGTGATGAAAGATTTGACCATTAATAGGCGACCACCCTGTGTTCACGCTTGGATACGCAGCGAGAGCATTACGGCGTGCGATGCATCGTGGTGGTGGTGGTGGTTGTGGTGGTAGCGGCCACTCACGTCGCACTGCCTCTGCACCTCCAGGTCCTGCCGCTGCATGAACTGCCGGATCTGATTGAGACTCGGCTTCTGCGGCAGCAGGCAGGTGGCATCGCGCGCCCAGTTGTCCACGAGCTTGTGCAGGTCGTCGGTGAAGGTACCCTTCTTGGTGCTGCCACCCTGGGATGCTGAAGGCCCCCCGGTGCCTATCGTTACCGTGCCGGAGCACGGCGTCTCTCCGCCGCCTCCGCCAACTCTGCCATCATTGCCACCACCAATGAAGGCGCCCAGGCCGCTGGTCATTGGGACTGTTTGTGCGATGGGGAGGGAGGCGAGAAAAGAAGAAGAAAAAAAGAAATTTGACGTCTTTTGACTGCGTCGGAACCGAGATGAGTGCTGGACGCAGAGTTAGGCAAGGTACAAAAAAAACATATGTTTGGCAAGTTGTTGAACAAATTCCACTCGAGTAAGCAAAAATAATTTAAACAAATTACGACGACAATAATGATCGCGTTTATCCATGATGGTCATTGAACAATACCATCCAATTTGTGTTTATGAAGCATCTAAATGTGCTCGTATCTTTCAGCCACTTTTAAGACTCTGCCTCATGATGATCAATTTACTTGTAGGTATATTTGAATGTGGGTCAGAGATGGCTCAATTTTAAAAGAAAATAATGTATACAGAGGCCCGATTGTATCATTCGGGTCATTAACTGTCAAAAGTACGACAGATGCTCACTGTTTTTAATATAGATATCGTATCTCATAGGCACGTAAAAAAAGCCAGTAACAAGTAAATAATTTTAGGGCAGAACATTGAGAATAACTAATTATAAACAGTTATGTAACAAACAAAAAACTAATTAAAGAGTACCTGTAAAAATACTAAAGAGCAAAAATAAATTTCGCAATTTGCTCGTAGCCAGCTGCAGTGCAGATTAAGTCCGCGATTCAGCTTTGCGTAAGCGTGTAATGTTAGCAGACGCTCACCCGGGGAACATGTTATTTCGCAGAAGAGAAGAAAGCAAGAGTAAAACATATCACATCCGTGCTCGGGAATGTTTTTTTTCCCATTCAATAAAAAAAATTATAATCGCGATTCCAGCAGTTGTGCGTTTTTCCTCGACGCTGGCCAGCAAGCAAATAACAAGGGTAGACGTGCTCTTCTCCTCCCCCCCCCCACCGAGCACGTGCCCGGACATTTGACAGGCCACATTTTAAAATCCGATTGTCTACAATCCATACGGTCAATTCCACGGCAAGGGAATTATAGACATCCACCCACTCTCATCTATTACAATTTCATTAGCGATGTCTGTTGTTGGATGATCGGCAGTAAGGGCCTCAGGGCCTCTGCTCAGCAACCATGATTAAAAACAGTGTATATATTTAAAATTCTTATTCTTGTACATGCAATTTGATGCATGTATTGGTGGCTTAAGAATGAATGTGAAATACGAGACTTTTATCGCAGTCATAGGCCGCATTGTAAGCCCGTTATTGGTCTTGTAATTTCATTACCGTAGAACCGTCCATAATTGTATCTGCCGATGAAATATTACTTGAGGCAGATGTCCAACTAAAACAAATCAATCGAAATCCCCTAGAGCACGTCACTCGGGACCAAACGGTAACGTCAGTGGGTGACGTCAGTCAGGATCAGTCAATATGGAGTGCTCACATATAACGTAAAATATGTTTTAAAGGGGAGAGAGAAAAAACGCAGCTTGCCAAACATTGCCAGAGCCGAGCTGTTGCGCAGAGGGGAACTCGGGAGAGTTCAAAGTGCAAAAACAAAAAAAAATACAAAATAAAATAAAAAGCGAGTGCTCAGCATCCCACCGACTGCAAACCAAAAAAAAAAGCAAAGTTCCAGCTGCAAACGGGGGAAAAAAAGAATCCGATCGGGCAGGTGGCATGGAGCAAACGATTTGTTATTTTGTTATTTACCGCTGCTCTTTCGTCTCATCGCACTGCCTGCTGGGGGAAAAGAGAAATGGAAACAAAACAAAAAACAACGACAAAGTTACTGCACGGCTTGCGGGGAAGTGCACGTCGGGAAGGAAGAGCGCCATTCTTTTACTTCTCTGTCTCAATGACGGGTGACGCGCACGGCGGGGGTGGGGGGCTCAACGCAGTCTCCAAGTGCTGCAAACGTCTTGAGAAATTCATCGCGGTGGATGACTCTCGTCGAACACACGCAACTTAAAATGTGTTCATTCGCCGAAGGGGTGGAACGATTCACCTCCAGCAACCATTTGATGAATTGTCACAACTCAGGGGTAAGCAAGTTAACTTAAGGATTGACCATTCTTACAGCAAAGCGCTGGATTAGCAGTGCCCCCAAAGCGGCCGCAGTGGTTACCTGAACCAATTACCTACGGTCTGGACGAATCAACAAGTGATATTGTTTCTGATGTGGCGTTCCAACCCTACTTTGGCGGGAATGCAGCGAAACGCTAAAAAAAACATGCAGGATGTGCATCTGAATCGAGCGCAACGGAAGTGAAAAAGACGAAAAAGGTTTGAAAATAAATATAAAGACAAAATAAACGTCACAAAGCAGTGTAGGTATTGGGGCTAGTGTCACGCCCCAACACAGACAAGCCAAGGCCCCTCGTGAGCGTGAGACTGAGGACGAGGGAGAAATCAACATGGGACTAGCACCCGGAGACAGGAGGCATGCGACGGAAGTGTTCCAAGGATGGCGGCACACAATTGCTCGCAGGAAGGATGAAAGACCCGGCTGCAGAGATGGCCGTGACTTAAAAAAAAATATTTGCCACTCGCGACTGTTCGTGGCCAAGACGTCTGGATTCCAGCCGCGCGGCTTTACCAGCACGTGCAGCGGAAAAAGCCACGCGCGCACGTTTTATGTGACACGCGAGACTTGCATACGAATTGTATTTTATTTTAAAAGCAAAGCCGTGTTGCAATATCCGTTGGCTCCCTGAGCGGTCGTTTCTCCCTGCCTGGAAACGTTTTTTTTTTTCCCTTTCCTCCCCCCTAAAGGCCAGGAGCAACGCCATACAGGGATGCCTTGTGGATTAAAAACAAAATTACAAACTGGGTACGAACAGACAGACAAGGTGGCGGGCCCACTGAGGAATCGGGAGCGCGGTTTGCTGTTAGTTTTGTACGTCACTCGGTCGGCAGTTTGGTGAAAAACCGTCCAGCCTAGAGGAGAGAGTCACAGAAAAGGAAACCGGAAAGACAAATATGAAACAAAGTGGTGAGAGAGTCAGAGGCGGCAGGAAGTGCTTACTGGACCATCTGTGAAAAAGAGCTTCATAGCTCATCGGATTCCTCCAGCATAAATAAATGTTCTGATTCGGAAGTGCTGTGTCCTTTGTGTGTGTACACGTGAGCAAAAGTAGTTAGTATTCAAAATGCACAGGCACACTTTTGTTCCATGACTGTGCGTTAAAAATTAACAGAAACAAAGTGACCGCATAACGAGTCAAAGAGACCACACGGTCAAATCTTTGCAGTGTTTCAGAAGCCAAAAAGGTACATGAATACTCATGTATACACGCGCAACTTTTTACAACCACGGTTATCACGAATTACATGTTGGTGATGCAATCAAATCCCGTCTGTACATATTATCCACGCCCACGTCATGTTGCTTAGACTAGGGGTTCCACGGGCATAGAGGGATGGCGGGCTGCACTTGGGGAATTAATTGCCACTACAACAGGCACATGTGTGGGTGGTTCAAAGGGCCTCGAGTGGTGGACATTGACAACACGCTGTGAGTTCCCTTGGACCACTGTACGTGCCGTGTCTTTGGCAACACGAGCGGGGGTTGGACGACCACTGGTCAGACCCCGGCAATCACACTGCACTTAAAAGCGGCACAGAATTGCAGTGACGAGGTACTGGGGGACCGCTGACCAAGCAACGTCAACTATATATTTATATTTTCATATAAAAGCTCTTTTATAAAATTTCATAGGGCATAAACCCGTGACTCCGAGCTTTAGAGTCCAGTGATTTTGACGAGTGCTTTGCTGTGCATTGAACATTTGTATTTATCAAGATTTTACAGGCAAATTACTTGGGTATGAACATATTTTGGATTATTTCTGCAAGCCGTAAAATTATTTATTCACAGGTCTTCTAAATGTCAATTTATGAAATATTTTGACCGTGAAATTTAGTTCATATTCAATGCAATTTTACATGTATATATATTTTTTATTGAAAACATGTTACCGTCTCCTGACATGCCTGCGAGCGTGTTTCTGGAGCTTGCATGTTCAGCCTGGTGTTGTGACATTATCATTTATCACCAGAGTTATGATCTACCCACTACTGCATGAAGGTTTGTTAGTGTCTTCACTGTCTCGTGCAGGTTAAGGAGTAATCTAGGAAATGGGTATATGAAGGGGTCCAAAATGGTGAAATTATAAATTTAATTCACTTGATTGTAACAGACAAATCCCAGATTATCTCTGACCTCAACAAATTCAACACAGGATGCGATCACAGACTGATGCAATTCAAGTTTCACCTCATTATAAACGCGAAGCGAAATCGGATTATAAATGAGAACAATATAGATGACATCAAAAGAGACAGGCCAGGAGGTTGTTTTTTTTTTCCATTAACTCTATACAACAGGTTCAATCACTTAGAGAAGCTAAATAATGACATGGATGTTACCACATAATAGTGTTGTGAGTTGTGCATTATAATTAATGACAATGCCTATGATGATAAGGACGAAAACAATGACAATGATGGAGATGATCGTGATAATGAAGACAATGTTGACGGTAATTATTTGGATTTTTCCATATCCACGATGTCGTCCCTGTTTATCCTTGCCAAGCTTCCAAAACGCCTGCGGCGATCTGGACGGAAACTGGACAAATAAAACAATTTCAAAATTTCATTCGGTCAATCTGCTCGCTTGGAGGTAACAAACCGTCCACGGACAAAAACACAAAAAATTAGCGAGCGAGCGAGCTCGGCCACTCACCGTTGCCAAACTGGTGAATGGCTCCGTCACTGATGAAGCCTGAGTAGAAGCTCTCTGTGGAGAAGGAGGGTTTGAGCATGTGGGTCTTGGGGATGGGCGCCGGCTGAGGGCATCTGGGTTGCGGCGCAGTGGCGAGTTGTGGCGGCGGCGGTTGTGGCGGCGCTGGCTGCTGCTGCTGCTGCTGCTGTTGTTGTTGTTGTAGTTCCGTTGGAGCCGGACCGCTGGCGGGCCACGCCGCCGGTGCTTGCTGTGAGGCTGTGGCAACAGTTCCGTTCCAAGTCAACTCGAGTCGTTTCCGTTTGTTTCTCAAGCTGAATTGGTTCACATTCTTGGTTCTTTCGGTAAAGTCACGTAGAAGAGAAACAATAAAATACAAAAAATATATAAAAGCAAGACATTTTCTTGCTGTGGTTTTCACACCTGATGATGATTGCTTTGTGTTGCAGTCGAAACGCCGTGAGAATTTTATTGTTTTATATATTTTATTATTTTATTGCTTCCCTTCTACGTGACTTTACCGAAAGAACCAAGAATATGAATCCCTGCAGTCACGAAAGCTTTAAATCAAAATCTGATTTGGTTCATTTCGAGCGAGTTTTTTTACTCACATCGGCCGAATGCACCCCAAGATCTCTCCTTGGATTTTGGGAGACATATCCGTTTCATTCAATCAATTTACTCAAGAACCAGAATATCGAGGGCCTAATTCCCGCATCAGTAAAAACGCAGACCCTCTACGGCACATTCTCACCAAAAACTCCACGGAAAGCTGTTTCCGTAAAACTATTCTTTTTATTATTTATACAATTTTTTTGTAATAATATCACCTAAGGCCCACTGAGCTATATAGCTCTTTTACAGAAGTGATCTGGCCATAAATGATAGCTCAACAACAAAGTGGCTTATCACGTGGAAATTTTAAGCAGCCAAATACTCTAAACGCGTATTCTTTCTAAATGTGGAGGGACAAATCGGAGGACCCAGATAAAATCCACGCGACCATGGAGAGAGAGAACACGCAAACTCCAAATATACAGGTGTCAGGTTTTGCTTTTTGTATTGAGTTTGTTGTCCTTCCTCCCCACCTCCGATTAGCACAGTTCGCTACGTACGGTTTAAAAGAAGTTCAACATACTTACAGAACTGGGATAAAAAAACCACGACCTCCAGCACACCAGGCGAGGTAGCTAACATCTCGCCACTGTGGCGCTCAACACCTGAACTGTGCTCCCGTCGCACGCGTGGTTTATGGGGGGGGGGGGGGGGACTCTCTCACACCTAATCCATCACCTCCCCCCCCCCCTCCAACCTCCGGCGTTCCCCCCGGACACTCACAGGGGAGGAAGAGCGCCGTGGGCTTCAGCGGCTGCATGCTGCTGGGCTTGCCGCCGGTGCTCGTCTTGCGGCTCTTGCTGATGCGTCGTCGGCGTATCGAGGGCGGCGCCGACTGCTGCAGGCAGGCGGGTGGCTCCTTGCCCATGCGGCGGTACAGCTCCTCCATCTCCTTCCGCTGGCGCACCTGCAGGTTGGTGACCTCCTCCATGTGCCTGGGAGGCGCGAGTGAGGAACGCGGCCACGGGAGGTTACGCGAGTGTGCGAGCGAGTTGGCCCCGCGCTGCAAAGCGTTAAGAAAGCTACACATGCGCGCAAGTTTCTTTTTTATTGCGTTGGCAAGAAAGCCAGTTACGTACGGATATCTTCACAACGAGGTTTAAACAAGTCTGGAACAAAAGCCACCATTTCCACCAAAGCACGAATTGGGCACTCATTGGCGCCGCTCGTGTTGCCTTTGCGCGGAGAGCGGCAGCGCGGTGCCACGCGACAGACTAAACCCTTAAACCCTTTTTATTTTACTGGGCAAGGCCCACTGAGCTATACAAAAACCGGAGGACCCGGAGAAAAATCCACACGACCACGGTGAAAACATGCAAGGGGTTGGGATCGAACCCAGGTACTCTTGCATGCCAGGCGAGGTAGATAACATCTCACCACCGTGGCACCCCAGACGAAGCGGGCAATGGAGGCACTCACTTCTCCCGCAGCTTGTGCAGCTGCTTCTTCAGGTCGTCCTCTTCCACGTCCTCCGAGTCGTTGTCGCTGCTCACGAACGACGACGCCGAGCGGACATTGGGCACGAGGCCGTCCTTCAGCTCGAAGCGCCCCACAGACTCCGTCCTCTCCAAGCTGCCCATCCGCTCCCGCGCCGCCAGGCTGCCGAACGCGGACAGCTCGCTGTCCGTGCTTGGCTGCTTGCGCATGATGCTGCCGCCGCCGGCGTAGCTGCCACCGTCGACGCCTCCGCGAGCGGACAAGGGCCCCGCGAAATCGTCCGACGTCATGTCGCGCCCGTTCTCCGTCGCGCTGTAGTACTGCTCCGTCGCCTCGCTGCCGTCGGGGAAGAGGTCGGCCGTTCTCGCGCCGGGCGTCTGCGCGTAGCCCTCGCCGAAGGGCACCTCCGAGTCTGTCCGCAGCTCGCCCGCGCGCCCTGCCGTCCCCGTTGCCGGTAGCGGTTGCGCTTGGAGAATCTCTGCAGCCGGACCGGTGCTTCCAGGGGGAATGCCCGGCAACGGTGTAGTCGAGCCGCGCGTTTTCTCGCCGGTGTCCGAACAGCTCTTGTCTGTGCCGTTCAACGTGTCGGACCGGAAGCATTTCCCGTCGTCACGGCCCCCCGGGTGAGCCGCGGCAGCGTTCGTAGCTTTTGCGACGACGGCCGGGTCCTGCGTTCTTTGCTCAGCGGGAGCAAAAGCGGCGGCGGCGGCAGTGGTGGTGGTGGTGGTGACGGCATCCGCGTGGCGATCGGATGACGACGAGGACAGCGAGGAGGGAGAGGAGGTGGTTGTGGCCGGGTCGGTGCTGACTACGTCGCGCGTCGTGGTGACCTGGAACCGGCCCCGCACGGTAGTCGCCGCTGGGACGGGGGCAGGGGTAGGCAGCTGTGGTGGCGCCAGCGAGGGCTGGGTCGCAGTAGTCGCTCCGGCGTTGGTGCCCGCGGCGGGGGGTCTGGGTGACTCCGAGGCGGACGGGACTGGAGGACCAGGGAGCGGAGAGCCCGTCTGCAGAAGACACATTTTGACAAAACATTACCCTGAAGCTTGGCCGTGGTTAAAAGTAAAACGGGCTGCGGTGTTACTGTCGGCAAGAGAGACCTGCTGAACGAGAAAATAGTAGGGAGGAAGGAAGATAGTTAAGTAAATAGGTGGGTGGGTTGGCAAGTAGATAGCTAAGTAGGTAGGCAGGTAGGTGGGTAAGTAGGTGGGGGTAGTTAGGTAGGTGGGTAGGCAGGCCAGTAACCATTTTTGAGAGCTCACTGATATTTCACATCTGCTGTGCAAGAGAGACAACATTAAGTGGCCAACTCTACCAGCTGGACGGGAAGTCCCCTATACCCCCCCCCTCTCCAACTCCACGCGTCAATGACCGCTCTATAAGACATGGGGTATAGAGGACACTTCCCGCCCACCCCGCCATTGACGGCAGCACTCACCTGGGTGTCGAACTCCGCTCGCTGTTGGACGCCGGCGGCTGCGGTGGCACATGGGCCGGCCCCCTGACCCGGCTCGGCGGGCAGAACGCCTGCGGCAACACGAGACCGATTAGCACGGATGGCTACGTGCGGTGCGAAAGAAGTTCAGCATACGTACACGCAAGACAACGTCGTCGTCACGAGCGGCGGCGGGGGCGGGGACACACTGGAGGCGGTAAGGTGGCATTGTGGAGTGTGAAGATTGATCGATGTGGGTGTACGCACCAATGTCCAATTCCGCACAGATCTGCTCTCTTACAAAGCGTAAGAAAATCGTACGGTTGTCACAATTTTATTGCTTTTTTCAACGGGCCGGCCTGCTGACATCCATATTATTCGACTTTCGAATAATATGGATGTCAGCACGTGAAAAAAATATATATTCCGATTTTTAGTCTGGATGGAACATGGCTTTAATTTGACATTCTCACTAAGAAAAAAATAATGAATGATCTTTCAAAGGTTCCATAAAAGCCACCTTTGGAAGTATATTGGATATTTTTTTCCCTTAACTGCGAATTGAAAAGCGATGTTCGTAGTGCACAGCGATAACCGCTGCATCACCGCTCTCCCAAAATATAAATATATATATTTTTTAATGTGCCACGAGGTTTAAATAAAAAACAACCCTGTAAAATATCATTAAGCATAAAATTGGCCTGACATAGGTGGTGGCTTAAGTGATGGTGGCAATTTTTTTGTGTTAATTACTTCCTAAAGAAAGATATGAAAATGGGTGGCTTGATCCGCCCTTCCACTTAATGTTCCCAAAACGCTTCCATTTGGATTCTAAAAATAGCCGTCGCGGATCAAATGCATTCAGAGGAAACCGACCTTCAGCCGGGTGCATGGGGGTGGTTAGCGTCTCCCACGAGGGGGCACCACCCTCCTGGGTTGACAGGGGAAACGGCTCGGCACCGCCAGGCTGTGGAGACACGACGGGTACCTTGGTTACGCGCGCGTGGGCAAACAACCAACCCCACACCCATCAACAACGCAGCCCTCGAAGAGATTCGATCCCAGAGGACATTCGAAGCGTAACGAACTGTCCCGCACATTTCAATGGGCTCACGTCAAATTTACGCTCTCGTCTCGGTAACCAAGGGGGACAGAGAGACCGGGTGAAGTCATAGGAAGAACGGGTTTTTATTTGTGTTTTAAGTCGGTTGCGAGAAATTGTTTCAGTGAACGTGTTGGGGGGGCATTACGCCTTCAGTGTCTGAGGTCAGGGCTTTCCGCCGGCTCCTCACCTGGGTGACGGCCGTCAGGGGCGACCCGTGTTGCACCGTTTCCGGACTCAGTGTCCGCTTCAGGCTCGCCTCGAGGCTCTCCAACGGGGCCTGCGCAGCAGCAGCAGCGGCAGGGGCGGCAACGGTTAAAAGCGGAAGCAGGAGCGTCGACGTTGCTGGGCAGTTCCACAAATTTGGCGAGGTCACAGTCACAACGTTTTAAAGCCACCCTAATAACCAGGATCCGGATTTTTTTTTATTTATGGAGGTGCTTATATGGCCCAGCATCTCAAAGTGCCCGACACCACATCTCATAACGATCGTTCCAGTTCAGCTGTGAATCAGTACAAGGACAAATAGTGGATATATACACCACCTCTTAAAAGCAACAGGTTAAATCGTCGAAGCCCCGCTTGCAACATTCACTAATTTGAAGGTCGCCCTATCTCCTCTCCTGCCGCCAGAATTACAGACTCCGTTCTCCTTATTCCGGCCATCTGTGCTGTCGGCGGGTCCTGTTCAAGGCTAGGCTCAAGCCATTCCTCTTCTCTTCCTATTACCGTCTCTTTGTCTTTAGGAGGCGACTGGAGTTATGCACTTTTAAATCAAGTTCGAAAACTCATTTCTTAAAAAAGCAGTTTTTTTGTGTTTAGTTTGTTGTCCTTCCCCCGCACCTCCGATTAGCATGGTTAGCTACGTAAGGTGTGAGAGATGTTCAACATACAAAGGTAGGCACAGGATGCCCATGTCTCATTGCTCAGTGTCTTGGGATGTGGTTGCATTCGGATGCTATATAGATCCACATTGCATTGAATTCGCTGTATGTCAGGAAATGACAGCAAAAAACGCCACAGCTAGGGATGTAACCTTACCAATTAAAGAGCAATCATTTCTCGAATCTCCCATTGGCGATTCAATGAAACGTCAATAATGTTTTTTTTTTACATTGCGGTGAATTTAGCGTCTCTAGTGGCAGTAGGAACCAATCACATTCAACATTTATGAATATCAATGATTTTCACAAGCAAGATTCGATACACGCATCCTGCGGGTACGAGTATTTCAATCGATAAATCGGTGCACCCTAACATGCCAAAAACATATACCTAATGACCTAAAAGGCTCCGAGCAAGTTTGCCAGTGAGGACAAGCATGCCCGCCGAGCTGAGTCGCTCAATGAGCACAAACGCCATCAAAACATCCCGAGGAATCATAATGGGTGAGGGCGGGGGTGGGGGGGGTGCTGAACGTCTCGTCAGCAGAAAGAAAAAGCATGCGTGGGCCGAAGTGTGACAAACAGAACTAGAAGCGAGGCAAGGGGGGGGGGGGAGGTGGATGATGGATCACAACAGCTCGCTGCGTCTCCACCTTGACGCAAACGAAGCTCGGCAGCGGGGGGAAAAAACAAAAACACGACAACAGGAGGGCAGCGCGAGAGAGACAGCGCCGGTGGATCGCCGCATTCCACGCAAGCACCTGGTTCTGGGGCGGGCCTGGGAACGGTGGGACATGCTCGCCAGTGGGAGTGAGCGTCTTAATTAACCGCTGCTGAAGTGGATCAGTGGCCTGCGGCTGTACCTACAAGCGGGGGGGGGGGGGGGGAGAAGCCAGCAGCCATGATCGCACACGCGCACGGCGGCGGTTTCGTTTTAGCGGCGCCACCCATGACGGCAGGCCCCGCACGCGACGGTGCGGGGGACGCGCGGCGCCCGTGGGGTCGTGCCCGCGGGTTCTGTGCCGGTGAAAATCCCCTGGGGCGGTGGGACGTGAGCTCCCCGACGAGCTCAGCCAATTACACGCACGCCGAGAGAGCCGCGGCGTTTACGGTCGCAGCGGGCGCAACACTCGGCGGGCGAGCCGCGAACTGCCGCGACACCCCAACACGAGCGTGCTGTGGACGAGTGCGGCGAACGTGCAAAGCGAGTGAAGAATGAAACGCTAAGTAGACCGATCATGGGATGAACAAACGGGCTATGTTTTTTTTTTACCCGCAAATGTCACAAACGGCGCGCGCAGGTTTAGAAACGCAATCGTAAAGGTAATTAGTCCACGGCGAATCGTTAAATTACGAACGCGCACGTAGCCTAAGCCACTTACGGGGAGCCAGGTTGGAGGCAAGGGCTTCGGCGGGGTGGTGCCGCTGCTGCTGCTGCTGCTGCTGGTGGTGGTGCCGCCGCCACCGCCACAGCTCACGAACGCGCTGGCCATCTGCGCTGGCGCCGCCCCCCCCGCCACGCCCTGCGAGGGCAGAGCCGGCGCCACCGCCCCGGGTGTGGTCGTGGGCAACACAACGCTCTGGCTCGCCACTCCCGCCGCCGCCGCCGCCGCCGCCGCCGCCGCAGCAGCCGGGTACAGCGCCAGGCTCGTCGGGTGGGAGACAGCGGGACCGGCCTGCGCGGGCGCGTAGCCCTGCACCGACTTGCTCGGGGACAGCACGTGCGCTGGGTCCGCGGCCGCACCGACGCCCGTTACGCCCGCTGGCGCCTGCTCTTTCAACAGCGTCCCCGCCGGCGCCGCCGCCGCCGCCGCCGTCGCCGCGGTGGCGGTGGCGTCTCCTGCCGCCGGCAAAGTGGAGCTGGCATCGTGGAAAAGGCTGCGCAGCTTCTCCGACAGCGCCTTGAGGTCCTCGGCGCCGGTTAGCCGGTGCGTCACCTCCGTGTCGGACTCGTGCGAGTGAGGGAGCGTGCCCTGCGGAGTTGGCAGCCCGGCCGCCGTGGGGCCGGCCGTGGGCGGCGCCGGCTGCGTTGGCGCCGCAGCCGTTGGAGTCGGGACGGCGGCGCCTGTGGGGGCGACCTGGGGAGATTGTCCCGCTGGCATGGGGACGGGCGCTTGGGCCTGTGTGCCGACAGGGGCAACCGTCTGCTGCTGCTGTGGCAGCTGTTGCTGTTGCTGCTGTGGCAGTTGTTGCTGCTGCTGCTGCTGCGGCAGCTGTTGCTGCTGTGGCAGTTGTTGCTGCTGCTGCTGCTGACCGAGCGACACCTGTACATTAGCGGCGATGGAAGTTGGCGGTAAGGGCTGCTGTTGCTGCTGCTGTTGCGGTTGAAAGGGCTGCATGGAAGGAAGGCCCGCCGATGGTTGCGCGCTGGCGGGCTGCTGCAGAGACACGGCTGGGGCGGTGGGCATCGGCAGGCTGGGCTGCACTGCTGGAAGAGGCGGCTGTTGCTGCACCACCTCTGGCTGGGCACCGGCATAAGCCTGGGGCAACTGCTCGTATGGGATGGCCGTGCCAGTTACGGGTGCTTGTGCGGGCACGGGCGCGGGAGCGGAAACCGTTACGGGCGCGGCCTGCGCCTGAAGGGCTTCGTTGACCGTCGGTTCAGGGTGCGGCATCACTATAGGAGGCGTGGTGGTGCCGAAGTTGCCCAGCTGCGCGTCCGGAACGACCGCCGGCAGCGAAACAACGACCTGGGCGACGGTAGCCGCCGCCGACGATGGGTCGAGCGGCGCCACCGGAAAATCTGGCACGAGCGGAGGCGGCGTCGCCTCGGCGGGAACGGCGACCAGGTCAGGGAGGTAAGCGGCTTCCGCGGACGGCACCGCGATCGGCGGGGCAGCGATGATCGCAGGTGCGGGCAGAGGGACCGGGAGAGCCGTGGATTCTGAGGATGCGGGGACGACGGCAGCGGGGGGGAGCGATCGCAGCTGCGGCCGGCGGGAAGGAAACGCCCGGAACGGGCAATGGGGCGACCGTAATGGGGCCGGTGATAGCGTGGAACATCACGGTGGACGTCGGCAGAGGGGCCGTGGACAACGGCGGTGGAACGTCGAGGCCGCCTGTCGGCAGAGGCGCGCCAGAAGCCGGGACGAGAATCGGCAAAGGCGGCACCGGCGGAACAACCGACGGCTCCGACGACGAGACGACAACCGGCGAACGCGACAGATCCGGCCAAGGTTCCGGGGCAGCGGGCACGGGGGTAGTGACGGGCATGGTCTCCGGCACGCCCAGGCCGCCGGCGGCGGCGGCGCTGCCCGGCACGTCCGGTGGCGCGGAGGGGAGGGGCGGCACGGGCTGCACGTAGGAGGGCGGCGCCGTGCTGACGCCGTCGCGGATCTCGGACAGGCTCTGCGACATCTGGCGCATGTTGTCGAACGCCAGCTTGAGGTCGATGGCCGAGGTGGAGTAGGAGAGGCCGCTGGGCTGCTCCAAGTCCACGTCTGCCGCGGCGCGGTCAAACGCACGCCAAAGGAAGGTCGTGAACATCAGGGAGACTCGAAAAAAGATGTTGCCATCTCTCATCTCAAAAGAAAGACTCAAGTGGCATCTTTCTTCTACAGCAGTGGTTCTCAACCTGTTTTGGCTACGATTGTTAAATTTTGTTTCAACAGAGTTAACCCACCCCCCCCCCTTGCCTGACCCAACATGGTTCTGAGAAATAAACGTATGAATAATGAACATCAATATTTTAAACAACTGTTCATTTTGTAAGGTATCCTAGCTAGCGAGTAACTGCACGCTCTGTGCGCGTGATGTCATTTGTTCGCGCTCGCTGGTTACGCTTGGAAACCGCGTTGTTTACAATCAATGAGTTTAGAAAGGTGTTCTATATTGGCAGATTCATACATGATTATTCACCAATGACTCTCATATATGATATAATTTCACATATTTACAAATCACCTACATGCACCCCCTGGGACCATTGCCACGTACCTCCCAGGGGTCCACGTACCCCCGGTTGAGAACCACTGTTCCACAGTGAGTAGCCAAAAGATCGCGAGCGGATAAACCGTGTGTCCTGCATTTAATGGGGTGAAGAGAATCATGTAATCTTTTGATTTAAAGCTTTCGTGACTGCAGGGATTCATATTCTTGGTTCTTTCGGTAAAGTCACGTATAAGGGAAACAACAAAATAATAAAAATCTAAAACAATAAAATTCTCACGACCTTTCGACTGCAACACAAGCAATCATCATCAGGTGTGAAAACCCACAGCAAGAAATTTTTGAAATAAGTGGCGGTTATTTTTAACGTTAAAAATAACCGCCACTTTTTTCAAACGTTAAAAATAACCGCCACTGTTTTCAAATTTTCTTGCTGTGGTTTTCACACCTGATGATGATTGCTTGTGTTGCAGTCGAAACGTCGTGAGAATTTTATTGTTTCATATTTTTATTATTTTATTGTTTCCCTTATACGTGGTGACTTTACCGAAAGAACCAAGAACATGTAATCTTTATTCAGACTGCAGGAATACCATGAGCTATGAAGCTCTTTTGTGTCCATGGGACATGCTGCAGTGACATTACCAGAACACGCAAGAATGTCAATTTCAAGTCCTTCTGCAGCGTAAATTACAAACCTTCAAACTTTTAAATCTATAAATTGAGAAAACTATTTCGTGGCTAACCATCGAACAAAGACGGTGGGGGTCACTGCACCGCACCTTTTCAGATACACTTCTGCGGCCGTCTGGAACGCTCTTCCTTTTGATATTAGGAAGCCACTGGGAGCGATGTGCACTTTTAAATGATCTAGATTGAACACTCCTTTAGAACTGCTTTTTGTGTTTGTAGTTTGCTGCCCTTACCCCGCACCTCCGATGAACACGCTTGACTACGTACGGTACGCAATAAGTTCCACAGACGTACATACACGCCGGACAGCCCTGGGCATTCACCCTCGGCGCACGTCCACAAGAGAGGAGCGAACACATTTTTCTCTTTGGCTTGTGGAAGAGTATGACGATTTATGGCGTGAATTTATGGCGTGAGGGCGAGGGGGCAGCACGGCCTCCTCTCTACCTTGCGATGGCGGTGACGCCCCCTTGTCCAGGGGCTCCGTGTCCACCACGGGGCTCACGAAGAAGCGCATCCTGCCGGACTGCACCATCGTGACGGCCGGTGGAGCACCGTCTGACTCTGGACCTGGGACGGAAAGAGAGAGAAAATAAATCATCGTTGTGCACGTTAGTAGCCTGGCGCTCTCTGTGCTCGGATAAATGCTGAAACTATCGATGGTGAGTGTTAACCGATGGGGAGTGTTAACTGTGGAACTATCGATGGCGAGTGTTTACTCTGGAACTATCGATGGTGAGTGTTAACCGATGGTGAGTGTTAACTGTGGAACTATCGATGGCGAGTGTTTACTGATGGTGAGTGTTTACTCTGGAACTATCGATTATGAGTGTTAAGTGATGGTGAATGTTTACTCTGGAACTATCGATGCTGACTGTTAACCGATGCTGAGTGTTTACTCTGGAACTATCGATGCTGACTGTTAACCGATGCTGAGTGTTTACTCTGGAACTATCGATGGTGAATGTTAACCGATGCTGAGTGTTAACGCTGGAACTATCGATGGTGAGTGCTAACTCTGGAACTGTGATGAGTGCTAACTCGTGGCTGTGTCCAAGCGGCACTCACTGCTTGTCGGGGTGGCAGAGGAGTTCGTATCCTGCTGCTCGTTAGACTGCACCGTCGGCCCCTGCGGGACACAGAGCAACGGCACGTGTTAATACACCCACTCATCCATGTATTCGCTCTTTTCTTCACCCATTCATTCTTTCATTTTCGCGTCACAAGGGGTGTAACAAATTACCCTCCTCCGCCCCATGTTCACACTGGCGATTCCATGAATAATAGCGATTCCAGGTCGCGATTAGATATGCTTAAAAATTAAAACCGTCTTTTGTTTTAATTATTTTACCATCTAATTTGTACTGTTGCTTTTTTCCCATCTACCAGCTGCACGTGTTTGTTCGCTCCATGATATCTCGAAAGCACGAGCGTAGCGTTTTTCACAGCTTCTTCTTTGTGGCACAGTTCCCCACTCGTGGGGGGGTGGGGGGGGGGGGTGGCAGTGGTGCCGCTTTGCCGGTCCCCTTTCTCCACCACATCCCTGTCCTGTGTCACCTCCACATCCATTCCGTAGTCCTTCACACCCTCGTTGACCCATTTAAACCACACCTCTGTCTAGGCCTACCCACGACTCGCTCGCCTGGTGCCTCCCATCATCCTCCTTTCGATGTGGAGTGTCTCTCTTTTCACGGCACATGCTCGTCATGCGAGTTTACTTAACTTTCATTTTGTCTGAAACGAGCACCCCAACCACTCCCTGCCTTCTTGCCCATCTCTTCATTTCTGACCCAATCCAGCTTTGCGATTCACCTCCGATTATACATCTATCTTGGCATCCTCATTTCTGACAGGCACAGCATCTGCTTCTGCTTGGATTGTCCACTGCCAATATTCAGACGTGACCCTAGCCATTCGAATCTACCTTCCCACGCACAACCGATTGGCACGGTTGGCTACGTACGGTGCGAAAGAAAAGTTCAACATACGTAACATACGTACGACTTTCTTTCAGCACATCATTTACTTGCAAATTTGCATCGGTCCACAATCGTCGTGCCCCCCCCCCCCCTACAAAACGCACGCACGAATCGATTCAAAATCGATTAATTCGCGCACCATTCCATGTGCGTCTGCAGCCATCCAACACTCTCAGGGCACGCTGCTACCGGCAGGAGAAGGGGGGTCTCGCGCGGGGCTGGCGGAGTGGGGGGCGGGGGGAGCGAGTGAGAAAGGCGTTGCGACACCTGCACGGAGCCAGCGGCGCCATCAGAAGCGGCGGCGATGGCGCCAGCGGCTCGCAATGCGTCGTCTCGGGCCGTTACCCCGGCGTCTTCGGGGCCCATCTCCTCTCCCTCCTCGCTCAGCAGCTCCTCCGCCTTGTCGCACACGTCGCGCATCTGCTCCACGAACGTGCGCTGCTCCGACACCAGGATGAAGTCGTTCTCCACCTGACGACAGAGAACATTTCATTTAAATGCGCTCACGATTCGTCGCCCACGTTCTGGCCCGCCGCTTTCGGTTTCCTTTTTTTTTCGTCTTTTGTCTTTCATTCGGCGGCCGCCTGTAATGTTTGCCCACAGCTCCCAAAGAAGTTGCCCGTTGCAGCGGCTGGCGAAAGCCGGAGAGGAGAAACGCTCGGCACGCGGCGCAACCCAGAATAGCGCCGCGTTGGCGAGATGTTAACGACCTCGCCTCGTCTACAGGAGGTCGTAGGTTCGATCCCGACCCCGACGCCTGTATAGTTGGCGTTTGCATGTTCTCGTTCCGCGTGGTCACGTGGATTTTTCTCCGGGTCCTCCTCTGTTTTTTTCCTTCCACATTTAGAATCAACATCACGCGTTTAGAGTTAATTGGCTGCTGTAGATTTCCACACGATAAGCCGCTTCTCGTTAAGCCATCATTGGTGATAGCTCAGGTCGCTTCTGAAAACAAACTACATCGCTCAGTGGACCTTAAATGGTAAAATAAAAAAAATTGTTCATCGAATTAATTACTCAGCTGCTCCTCACTCGTCGAGGGCCCAGCGCGACTCCGTTCCCACGTGACCCCCAACGGCGGAATTTTTTTCCCCAACCTTCCACACCCCCCGCTTGCCACGCACGCGCACGAACGCAGACTCACCATGTACTTGGCGATGTCCTCGGGGTTGTCTGCGTCCAGGCAGAACTTGAAGGTGACCTTCTTCTTGTTGTGTGTCTCCAGCTGACACTCCACCTCCTTGTCGCCTCGCCTGGACACCTGCCAGTCAACACACGGCGCCCACCAAAAAAACCAGCAACAACAACCACCACACTGTGAAGTGGAATTCGTCGTGACGCACCGCGACCGTATATCAACGTCCAAACCAATTTCGACTCGCGTTGCAATCACACATTTGTCCAAGACGTAATACGTCTTTAGGCGTGGGGGGCAGATTCATACATTCATCGCGCGTAGTCAGCGAAAGACCGTTGTGCCAAACATGTGACCTCTTGCGAAAGCATTCGCACAAACTGCTCTTGGCTGCCATACACCGGCAGTCTCGAGTGATTTGTTTGTTGCAATGATTATTACGGGGGGAGGGGGGAGTGGGGGTGGGTGGGGACAACCACCGGGGGCAGCGCCATTCCTTTCATGGTTGCAGTCCACTTTGAACGTCGGCCGCGAACCAAAGTGCGCAATTTGCTGGAGTTTGCGCATCAAGTCGGGCGGTGTCTCCCTCAATCGCTAGCTTATATAACGTAGACTTCATTTTATTTAACTTTTTTTACGTGCAGAGACGGACATATGAAGGAGATGTAATGTCTTCTCGTCTGCTTTGTTACGGTCTTCAAAAACGGCGGTAACGACCTATTTGTGCCATAGATGTTACTCCCGACTTGTTTTGCGAGGTACTGCATTGCACGAGAGGCATGTTATATTTTTGCCAGAAGGTGGCAGACATTACTACGGAAAGAAATTCCAACAGTATAAGAGCGAGCCAAGGAAAAAGCACCAGCACCACCTTAACACGCAATAACAGGAATCCCTCAAATGGATTCCACTCAACCAATCAATGGCCACCACGGCTATCTCCCTCTCTTACATTTTGCCCCGAAGAAGCTGCGAAAAAAAAAAGATAAAAGTTTCAAATTCAACGCTGCAATTTTCCTGCACCAAAGTCGCTTCTACGCAGGGCAGAGACACTATTTTAATGAATGGGGGCTTGGCCAATGTAGGATCATTGATAGGTACAGTTTGTTGTATAACGCGGCAGTTGCGTTCCTGAAGAGCACCATGTGATGGAAATATCGCGTTATAATGAATAATACACAATGGAGGGTAAAGCACAATCCGCGATAACACGTGAGGTGTGTACGCAGACTGAACAAAGACTGAGGAGCGTGGGTAGCATCTAAAAGCATCCAGCAGCATCCTACCGCCTTGTGTGATGCTACGCCGAGGCAGCCGTACAATCGCTTATTGATACTTGCGCGACGTCGTTCCGTTCACTCGATCGCGTTATAGCCAATTTGCGTTATGAAAACAAGACGCGTTATAGGAGAACAGACGGTAATCTGACTCTTCTGAAGAGACAATGTGTGTCAAAACGGGCCCAGGGCCAGGGTTTGCTTGTACTGAAGGCCTTGGGGCAACTTCCCAGCAGGCCGTGGGGACAATGGGTTGTGTAAAACCTTTACTTTGATTTATTATGTGGAGAGAGAGAGGGCTATCGGATGGAGGGGGAGAGTTGGATGATGATGCTGAACAACAAGCGGTGGTGACGTACCTATGGGACCCATTTTTCCGGTATCAAAATTATGAAAAAATAATCGGCTTTACCCTTTCCGGCAAAAATACAGGAGGTGTTGTGATGTATCCTGTCCATACAACTGCATGACCCGAGCTATTAATACCTCCTTACCTTTGCGCCGTTCGCCTTTTGGCAGAGACAAGGCCATCAAAGGAGGCTCCGTCTGGTGTAGGCCAATCAGTGTTAAAGACGATGCAGAAATTGCACGTTTAACCACAAGCATGATGTGCGCGGTTCACGCACACTTGCTCCCTTGCAACAACAGGCGTTGGAACACACCTTAAAAACCACCGCCCGTTACTCTTGCCCGTTAGAGGCGCAATTCCCATCTTGTCGTTGCATTCACCGCCGCGCGTCGTACGTACGTTGAGGATCTGCAGCTTGGGCCTGCCCTTCTCGTGGCGCGAGTTGCTGCGCACGTTCTTGCGCGACTGCCGCTGCGTGGGCCGCCCCTTGTGGCCCCGCGCCGTCGTCGCCGTCGCCGTGGCCGGGCCCTCGTTGCCGTCGCTCATCTCCTTGCCCGACTGCGGGTCCGACAGAGTGCTGCCGATGTCACCGGCGCAGCGTCGGAGGGATGGGGAGGGATTGAGAGGGATGAGGGAGGGATGGGGAGAGATGGAGAGGGATGAGGGCGGGATGGGGAGTGATTGAGAGGGATGGAGAGGGGAAGGAACGCAAGGGCAGGAGGGCGTCATTGACAAAAGCAATGATGCGCTCACTGCGAATTTAAGCAAATCGTTGGCTGGCATTAGTTTAAGACGAAACGAAACTTTTTTTTTTTATTTCACCAGGTAAGGCACACTGAGCTATACAGCTCTTTTTTCAGAAGTGACCTGGCCACAAATAACAGCTCAACGAAGTCGGCTTGTCGTGTACAAATGTATAGCAGCCAAACACTCTAAACGCGTGATGTTGATTCTAAATGTGGAGGGAAAAAAACCGGAGGACCTGGAGAAAAAATCCAGGTGACCACGGGGACAGAGACACGCAAACTCCAAATATACAGCAGGCGTCAGGGGTCGGGATCGAACCCACGCCCTCCTGCGTACCAGGCGAGGTAGTTAACATCTTGCCACCGTGGCGCCCTAACTAATACAAATTTAGTTGCCCTCTATCTGGACAAATCTGACCGGTGCTCAGCTTTAATGTGCAACTTGGATGGCAACTTCCAATCAGATGACACACAGAGAGATCACATGACCAGGTTGCGTGTTCTGTTGACCAGTGTTTCTCAATTTCTAGTCCTCGGGGCTCCACACGGCACAGATTTATGAGGGATTAACAACCATCGCATGCATGCGGTGTGCTGTGGCTTAATTTGCTTATGAATACAAAAAATTGCAGAAAGAAACTGATGGTCACGAAGACGTGGTGAGCGGGGGAGGTTACGAGTTGAGACACGTTCCAAGACAAATTCTGTCTTCATGGGCCAGACAGAACTGTGAAAATGCCATTGCCATACCAAGCCGTCATATCTTCTTGGTTCTTTCGGTAAAGTTACGTAGAAGGGAAATAATAAAATAATAAACAAAAAACCATAATAACATAAAATTCTCACGACGTTTCGGCCACAACACAAGCAGCCGTCCGCAGGTGAAGAAACAAAGCTGTCGGAAAGACAATGAATCCCTGCAGTCACGAAAGCTTTAAATCGAAAAAAAACCCGTCATAGTTGCACAAAGTAAATGCATTGCTGGTGACAAGCGCACAAGCAATGATGATTGCGGTAAAATTGCCCTTACTATCATCAATGCCTTGAGGAGGAGGCAACCCACACTGCCAGAATATCCAACACCAAATAGTTAATGTCATCAAACGTACATCGTACATAATATTTTTGGACAAATTAATTTGCTAATTGGCCGAGTCGACCCATTGGAGCGGGGGATGGAGGGCGGCAGGATAGGATCAGATGTCACTCACAGTAGCACGGATCGAAAGCGAAGCTCGGGTTGCCAAATTCACGGCGAGGGCGCTTGAGCCACCGTGCTGCCGCTCCCCCCCACGTCCACACAAAAACAAAGATCCCCCGTATAGCCTTAACATAAGCTTGGGGCAAGTGCTGTTAGCGAGCACCTTATGAAAGGCCGGCACGGTACACGAGGAGGTGGGTGGCCAGCACCACGCCCGGCCGCCTTTGTCTCCGCAGAACTCATGTTTTACACACCGGTAATCATGTGAGGCTGAGTCGACCTAGGGGAGGCCCAGGTCCGGTTCAGATAATCGTCACTGGTGTTAGCCTTGAGCGGGAATTGAACTTGGGTTACCAGGTTCGTATCGAAGCGCGCTAACTGCTACACTACTGCTCTCCACACACACGCACAGGCTTAAATTCTCATTCGAAGATCAAATGTTCCCGCTGTGTCTGAAAACGACACCGCATGACCGCGGCATGTGGCAGCAGTCCTGAAATGACCCACGTGCTCCCACATCCAGGGATAAAAATCTCGCCAGGATTACGAGCGACGCGGGCAATTGGCACCCCCCCCCCCCCCCATGTCACCAGTCAAGTCACTCGCTCACTTGCGGTCAGTCAGTCGCCTCCTCCTCATCACTCTCCTATTGTTACTGTCATGGTGACTGTTCATATGAACTTCGCTCACCGATTCATCCACCGATGATGACGACTTGGTCTACCAGGCTTACCGCTTTTGTCTCATCCACGCTGTGTTCAACCATCATCGCACTTGCACGTCACAACTACATCCACTCACCCACTCGTTCACCACCGCACATGCACGTCACAACTACACACTCACCCACTCGTTCACCACCGCACTTGCACGTCACAACTACATCCACTCACCCACTCGTTCACCACCGCACATGCACGTCACAACTACACACTCACCCACTCGTTCACAACACCTCTCTCTCTCTGCTTTTTCCCGCAAATTGCTCGACTTTGTTACTCCTTTCCAATCGTCTATTTTTCCCCAAGTTCTTATAACCTTAAATTTTGATTTAAAGCTTTCGTGACTGCAGTAATTCATATTCTTAGTTCTTTCGGTAAAGTCACGTTGAAGGGAAACAATAAAATAATAATGGCCGAAACGTCGTGAGAATTTTTATTGTTTTATATATATATTTTATTATTTTATTGTTTCCCTTCAACGTGACTTTACCGAAAGAACTAAGAATATATCTTATAACCTTCTCAGATACATTACAACTTTAACAGCACTCTTGTTTGTTGGTGGCCAACTGGGACCTTGGGCCTACGCTTGGCAACCGTGATGCAAAATCAAACAAGCACAGCCTTTCGAGCGGTTCGCACTGCTGGCAACATCTCTGCGGGTTGCTCAATTACCCGTAACCACTTTCCCTAATGGGCGGCAGTAACACCGCTTTAATATTATTTTTCGCGACAAATTAACCGAGTTTGCCAAGGCCGCCGGTGTCGGCGAGAGCGCAACAAAGCACGCGGTAGACGGGCGGCACCATGCGCACGTGCGTATCGCCGAATGCCTGGTGCCCCCCCCCCCCCCCCCCCCCCATGCCATCCTCCTTTTCTGCACAGCAGCCTGGCAGCGGTAGCACTGCCAAAGGGGCGGGGGGGGTGGCAAACTGCAATTCTTTTTTAAAAAGGAATTTCAAGGCTGTCTGGCAAGACGGCCGGGGGGGGGGCAGTGCTGGGACAGGGCAGCAATGCATTCCTGGGTTCAGAGCGGTGGCCGCTGTGTGACACCCTGAAAATAAGGGCTTGCTTTCTTTCATTCAGTTCGGGTAAAAAATAAAAAAAAAACCCGTCACTTTTCACGAAGGCCTCTTACCCCTCCACCGATGAGAACATGTACGGAGTCTGATGGGCGACGTAGTCGGAATGTGTGCTCGCGCCGCCAACGTACTGCGGAGAAAGCGTCCATTCAAGCGTTAAACACATAGGGGCGAGGTGCACCGAACTCTTAGCCCGTGACCACGCACGCATGGAGCAGACGAAACCGCACGCACGGTTCAAACCACCGCGTGACATCAAAGGTGCCCCCATCCAATGGACGTTGTTTTTGACGGGAAAACGCGATCGGCAGAACTCCCCTTATGTAGAGGGTGGGGGTTAAGCCTCCCAATGTTGTTATCAAAGCATGGACCACGATTGGGTTTCATTGCTCTGCAATGTGCAATAGGAAGGGGGGGAGTGGCAGCACAGTGATTAGCCCATTGTGCGATGAAACCAACGAGCCGAGTTTAATTTCTGGCCACGATTTATATCAGTGGCGAATGATATCCAAACTCTTCCCGTTCCCTCCGTTCACCGACACGGTGAAAGTGTAAGGCCAATCTACCCCCCACGACCATCACGGCCTCAAGAGGGACCCTTCATCCAGCAGTAGATTGAGCTGTTCATTATCGATCATTCACGTAGAACTCCCGTTGTCGCACAACGCGAGCAACAAAGCCGCGGCGTTTAACAAGGCTATCCGCGCGGCAATTGAAAAGTACAGATTAAAAAAACTTGAGCTTTACAATCGAGTCATCATCATCAGCACAACAATGACGACGACAACAGAGACAACCCAGCTTCCACGTACCTCCAGCGACCCCTGATTGACCAACTGCGATTGAGCCTGGGCCATCACCGTCGTGGTGAACGAGGCCTGCGGCTGAACCGGCACCGCCATCCGCTCGGTGCCGGGAGGCGGCACGGTGGAGGTGGTGACGACGGCGGCCGCGTTGGTGGCGGCGGCGGCGTTGGCAGCGGCCGCGTGAACGGCGCCGTTCGCTTGCGCCGGCTGCTGCTGAGCCGGCTGCTGAGCCACCGGTTGCTGCGGTGTTGACGCCGGCGGCAGTGGCTGCTGCTGCGAGAAGGGCGCTTGCGTGCCGAAGTTCTGCGGAAGCGTCTGCGCCGGCTCCTGCCGCGGCAGGGGCACGGCCTCCGGGATGTGGCCGATGCCATTCTGCGTTGCGTGCAGTTGCTGCGGTTGCTGCTGCGGTTGCTGCTGCTGCGGTGGTTGCTGCTGCGGCTGTGGCTGCAGTTGCTGCTGCTGCGGCTGCTGTGGCTGCTGCTGCGGCTGCAGTTGCTGCAGTTGCTGCTGCTGCTGCGGTTGCAGTTGCTGCAGCTGCTGCTGTGGTTGCAGCTGCAGTTGCTGCTGCTGCGGCTGCAGTTGCTGCTGCTGCGGCTGCAGTTGCTGCTGCTGCTGCTGTGGCTGCAGTTGCTGCTGCTGCAGTTGCTGCTGCACATAGACACCAGGCTGCGTTAGTGGTTGCTGCTGCTGCTGCTGCTGAGTCCCCGTCATTGCCTGCTGGACGGCGGCCGAGGGTGGCTGAGGCTGCTGTGATTGCGCCGACATGGGGGACATCGTGTTAAATCCAGACGGGATCTGCGGCACAGGCATCTGCATCTGCACAGCGGGTGCTAGCGACTGCTGCTGCTGCTGCTGTGACGAATATTGCGCTGGTGCTTGCTGCACTGTGGTGGTATACGAGAGCTGGCCCGGCGCGACGGAATACAGCTGTCCTGCTGTCGGTACTGTGTGCTGCTGCTGTTGCTGTGGCTGCTGCGGCTGCTGCTGCTGCTGCTGCTGCGGCTGCTGCGGCTGCTGCTGCATGCCAGCCTGGTAAAACGTGGCGCCGGGCAAGGGCATCGTGTTTGGCTGCAGCGGCGCTTGCGTCGCTGCCGCGTATTCCGCCTGCAAGGCAAGCGGTGGCACAGAGGTGTTTAGGCCGGGTTCTGCGACCAGGCGCGGGAAGGCCTGCATCGGCGGACAGGGCAGCGAAGGCAAAGCGGCGGTAGCGGCGGCGTAGGGCTGGCCGACGGCTCCTGCTGGCGGCACGGCACCCTGAGCCATCGGCATGCCGGCAAGAAGGTACGGCACGCCGAGCGCATCGACGGCGCCTTGCAAGACGCCGGCGGTTGCAGGCATCGCGGGCAGAGCATCGCCAGCGCAGGGGGCAATCGGTGCAGGGAGCTGGGGGGTGGGGGAGCCACAGAGGGAAGATTCGGTAGCGGAAGAGAGTGGGCGGGGGGGGCGCAGAGAATGGAGCTCAAGTGAGCAAGTGGAGAGCGAACGGCAAATTCGTGCAAAGAAAAGCAATTGCATGGTGATTATTTATTTGAGTTAAATTTATTTGTAAGTTGTTCAAGCTTGAAGGTGTAAAGGAGTTATAATCAAGACCGCTGGTTCCCCCCACCGCTGCCTTTGCCTGCCACCAAAAGCACGAGAAAGGTTACCGAGGCCACAATACAGGGAGAACGCATGTCCACGAGCGTTCGTCAATGCAGTGTTTGTAAGCCAATCGTTTCCTGCTGTAAATTAACGCACTCTTTGGTTATTTCGGTAAAGTCACGGAGGTAAAAATAAAACAAATCACGACCGTTTCGATCGCAACACAAGCAATCTTCATCAGGTGGAACAACCACAGCAAGAAAATGCTCAAGTAGGCGAGAGAGCTACCAGTTAAGGCATTACTTGGTAAATTAGCGTGTTGTGTCATCGCTAACGTGGCAACAACGTCCCCTACGCACGCATTAAAAATAATTCTCCCACACGGTATCCATGTGGCACTGAAAGTCTGGAAGGGAAAGAGTCCCGTGGGTGAGCCTTTTGACTCCGCTGCATCATCAGAAACGGCTGACGCCCTGGGCTGAAGACGCACAACGCCGCGAGCGAGGACCACCCATTCGCCCGTGGACGCTGGGGACGCAAGTAGCCGCCGTCCACTGCAAGCGTGCACGCGTACGGCCCTGTTTGTTCTCCCGCTGCTGGACGAGGGCCTTTCCTTAAACGCCACGCGGGAGTCACGGGCCTTACCCCGACGGTACTTCGATGCCACGCTGGTCGGCGCGCGTTGGTAAGGACGTGGTGGGAAGGGGAGGAGGGGGGGGGCATAGATTTGCAGCACAGCAGCAGTGGATTGTGCTGCACCGCCCCTTTTGCCGGCGTCAGCGCGCCGCAGTCCCGCTGACGCATAGGACATCCCGCTTGTGCACGGTCACAGGGGTCGGGCAACCTGCGGCTGCCAGAGCCGCATGCGGCTCTAAGGGACCGCGTCGTGACGGCCGTCTCGTATTCGTGTGCATTGGGCGGCTCTTGAAAGAGGTTTTCTTTATCGCATTCCAGAAATAATGGCACTTCTCGTTATTTTGGTTGCCGATCATCCCGTCCGTGGTGGTCGCACATCCAAGCGACATCAAGGCTCAACTCTGCTTAGCTTCCGAGAACTGACGAGACCAGTCACATTCTGGGCCATTTAGTCATAGGCCCATTAAGAATACTTAACGTATGTAATGATTCTCCGCCATCAGCGAGTCTATAAATTATACCGATTGTGGTCGTGATAAAATCACAGAATACGTATTTTTTTGCCTAGCTTGTTACCGTCTCATGTGTATTAGTTCTCTTTTCTTCTGCTCACCGGGGCGTGCATCGTTTATCACCATCATCATCATCATTTATATATGATAGAGCGCCCTTCACGGCAAGGTACCCTCAGAACTCTCTCTTCGGCAAATCATTGTGAGCCGTGATCAATCCACCGATGGGTAAAGGCCTGCACCCCCCAAAGCTGTCACAACCTCTCAGAGCTCTGTGATGGAGCGATAAACATCGAGTTGATTTCACCTCTACATTTCCACGGAGGACATCCTCTTGGACGCATGACCTCCTTTAGCCGGCCATCATCCCTTCTCGCGACATGCCGTACCCCCCCCCCCCCCCCCCCAAAGACCCACTAACTTTTCCCAAGGGTCAAAACGGTATCTCTAACTTTCTTTGCATGCGCACCATTGCAAGTGTCGTACGTACCTTTGAACGCTCGCCAGCTAAGTACGTAACTGGCTGGCAAGCGGGAAATACAGTGCTTAAAATAAACACGTGGCGGTGCGTGTCTATGGGCTCGGTAAACTGCCTTGATGCGCTTGGCAAAGCAACGGCAACATTTAGAAACCAGGATAACTCATTCACGGCGGAACCGACGACCGATGGAAGCAAGGCACCCGCCCAAATTGTCCTTACCCAGTCTCCACAAACACACAGGTTTGTGGCCGGTTCCGCAAGCCGTGACGTCAAGCGGTCAAGTTGTATTTTTTTTTTTTACATTTTTAAAGAGCATTCATTACGGCGGGGGGGGGGGGGCGGCAGTGGCTTTGCTGAAACGCTTCCGATTCCATTACTCGCGCGAGTTGATGCGAGAGCTAAATAAAGCGTGACAGCGAGCAAACACCGACGGGGGGGGGGGGGGGGGGGGGGCGGCGGTAGGGGACGACGACAGCGACGGCTGTCCCTTCGCCGGAGGAGAGACGGCCGAGATTGTCAGGTCGCTTCATCGCAGACGCGAAACCTGGGCACAAGCGGCCAGTGTCGCGGAACTCGCAAGCCGCACCCTCCCACCCCTCCCACCCACCCCCCCCCCCCCCCCCCAAGGCGTTTTAGAAAACGATCACAATTCTTGAGCGTCAAGGGTGGGTTTTTTATGTTTAGAAGGAGCCAATGTTTGAATACTCCCCTTCTACTAAGCCGAGACAGAAAAACTGGTTTAGCCGGTGTGCAGAAAAAGGTTCCTGAACTTACTCATGGTCCAGTTACCTCTTTTAAAACCATACGATGGGTCATAAATGTTTTTTTTTCTTCCAGGATGCTCCGAATAAATTGCCACGATTTGGGGGTGGGGGTCAGATTTGCACAATTTTCTCCCCGTCGCGTCGAATGTAGCGGCCGCGAGCGCGAGCAAGGGGTCACGCGAAAACCCGTCGCATGCAACGGGCAAACGTCGCAATAAGAATAAATTTCTCATGCGCACAACTCATCGTGCATACGGACAGAGTAGCAATTGATTTAATTTGATAAATCGATGCACCGTTACAGTTCAGCATCTTCAAGGTAAGAGCTTTTCGTTTTAGGTGTTGTGTTCGCCCTGAGCAGGATATTGAACGTGATGATACCTGTTCCGCAAAACATTTGTACTCAACAATTAGCGATTTCATATTTTACGATTCAATTTGTGGAGCATTGCGACGCTCTTGCCGGCGGTTACCGTACATCACTTTTACCATCAACCATTCTCTATCCACTGCTGGCTAAAGGCCCTCTTCCCAAGCCCTCGACATCTCTCGGGGGACCATGGAATGGCAAGAAATCGATCCGGCTTCTGCGCACGAGCCGATTTCATCACTCCATCTTCGTGGTGCACGTCACTTGTTTGCGGAACGTATTTTATTTGTTTTGTTTCCTCCTACAACCGATAGCCCTTGCCAAACAGATTCAACAAATACTTAAAAGCGGACTCTTTTATTTGCACACGCGCTTTTAGACGAGATGAAAAAAAGCTCCTACGAAAACGACGATGAGAGAAGGATTACGATCGAATGTTGGGTCCGATCGCCGCGCGAGTAAAATTTGAACGTCGTGTCGTACAGCCTCCTCCACCCGACCGACTGACAGCCAAATAAATGAAGTTGTCACGGAATTAACAAACGCGCCAAGTTGCTATAGTTTCGGCACACTGGTGTTAGAGCACTCCACGCAGATTTAAAGCACTGGGTGCGGACGTTTAACTGCTGATTACAACCAGCATCACCAGGCGGTCGCCAGAATTGTGAATATGTCCTCTGGTGATGTCATCAACATTCCCATTAATGCGGGCCCCACACATCGGCATGTTACTGATACGACGATCTTACCCAAAAATCAAATCATTTGCGATTTATAATGCCGGTCGCGAAAGCAAAGGAGGTTTAAAATTTTGGTTTTAAAAACTTTCGTGACTGCAGGGATTCATATTCTTGGTTCTTTCGGTAAAGTCACGTAGAAGGGAAACAATAAAATAATAAAAATATAAAACAATAAAATAAAAGAGGTGTTACAATTACTGGTTCTTTGAGGGCTGTTTTCAAGTTCCATGGAGACAGTGTGCCGTCGCCATGGCGCTGCCATTCGGGACACAATTCAACTCCGTGGTCTGTCCAAGACACATCACATTAATACAGACTCGCCTTTCCCTAAAATATAAAAAAATAAAGGGGGGAAAATGTAGTTATTTCTTTGCTTGTTATATATTCATAACTTTATTTAATACTCACCTTTCCTTATGATATTCGTTGAGCCCGATGGCACTTCATTTCGCGCGCGGTTTGCAATCTACTCTGCTCAGGTCGGCGTAAGCCGCTGGAGTCGTGACGGGTTTCTTTTGTTCCTTCCGCACTATGTCCCCCGGTACCATTCCGCTGTAAATGTGCACCGATGCACCACTTTATTGAGGGCGATATTTGCCAGTAAAATGAAGATTGATGGATCGATCGACAACGCTAACTCTTCGTGGATTTAAAAAAAGGTTAATGGGCCACGAGTAGGGGTGAGGGGTCATTTTCCTGCGCACTGGCTAGACCAGTTTTTTCTGTCTGGGTCGAGAGGATTCACTTTGGGGAGTCTGCAAACATGACCCCCCTCCCTCCCTCCCTCCCTAAACAACATGAAACCCTCTACACATTGAGAACTGTGTATCGGGTTCGACATATGCATTGTGGGGGGAAGGGCTTTATGTTCTGAGCAGGAGACCAAGATTGGCTCGAGGTTGCTCCGATGAAATATAATTGAAGAGGCCAAGTCAAGAAAGGTAGGGGAATCACCCTGTATACAGTATCAGCAGCTGATGGCCCGTGTGTTTATATTTTATTTCAATATTCTTCCCATTTGACACGTTCAACTTTAAATTATCATGAGATAAAATGTTCAAACGTGTGTGCATTTCATGCAAGTGACATTCTGGCTAGGCAGGGAGCACTGAACGACTCCTCTATTAAACTGTATTCTGACACACTCATGGAACAAGCGAACCAGAACAAATAAGACGTAGGTAACGCACAACAAATAATGAATCAATTGTCGAATTAAGTCCCGGACCGAGATCGATGACAACCTCACGTTGAACGTGAACCTTTGCCTTTAATATTTCAGTGCAATAGCTGTGGTCAAGAACAATTCGAAGGAGGACAAAGGCTCTTTGCACTGAATGTGCAAGTGTCCTTTGCCCCAGGCGATTGATTGGGGGCCAGACCCGTCGTTCGAAGGGACAATGGCCGCTGGTCGAGACGAACGATGGAGTGGCTGCCCAAAGGATGAAATGTGCCCGAGGGTGAGGCTTCTATTGGCAGAGATGGAGCGACAACAGATTGACCGATTGCTACAGCACAGGAACACGAGCAGTGCCGACGGCTGGGGAAGCATTCATCCAGCGGCGGTGGAACCGATCGCGGCTGTTGATGATGGCGACATCTCAATGAGCACTTGGGCCCAGTCATAATTAAAGGCTACAACTCCGGCCTACCGCTCATCGTTTCAACTGCCGCTCCCGGAAGGTGGAATCGAACCAGCGCGGTGACCGTTACAACACCCGGCAGTATGGATGGGCAACACCGGGCGAGTCGGTCGGCTAAACTGCGCGTACGCCCCGCCTCTTCCCACGCACAATCTCATGAACGTGAAAGGGTAGACTCAACACCTTCCAACAGTTCGCTCCAGTGAAGGGCCTCCCTCCTGCCAGCAGCGGCGTGAGCAAGCGATTGCACGGCTGCATCGTCGCCTTTTTATGTTACGACTGCTACCGCTGCGTCTGTGCCGACACGGTAAAGCATCGCAGTCGTGTCCGCGCGCACGGGATTGGTCGCAGCCCTTTCTGCAGTCGGCGCTGGCATGCGGTGTCACACACCCCGTCGCGGCGACAGCTGTCGCGTGAGCGTGTTGGCACAGGCCAAGCGGGTTCACCGCGGCTAAGCTGAAATTCAAGTCGCCGGGCATTCTCGGTAAATCTCGCAAAAAAAATTATTCGGGAGGGGGGCCTAAACGCGTCTTCCCACCGTCCCACCGACTATCGCTCGCGTTGATCCGCAATGCTTACACAGCGGCAGGGCAGGCGGTCACGGAAACAACTGGCTTTTGTAAGACACTATTAATAAGAGCGTCAATACAATAAAGTGAGTACTGCTTTAACAGCTGGGGGAGCGATTGGGAGATGTGACGGGGCCGTAAACGGCGACATCCAACAAATTCGTGGCTACATCTCTGATAGTTTCTCGACATAAGCCATGAGAGAGAAGGTAGAAGCAGCGACATCCGGTGCTGTCATGCAGGCGTGGCGGCGCTCATAAATAAAAAATGCCGGTGACAATCAGCGGTTAACGCAACTCTGACAGGCAGGTGCTCGTCAGCCGTGAAGAGGGGCATTGAAGCAAGGGGGCTGTGGAGGGAGGGGGGGAGGGGCGGAAGTGCAAATACAGCAACAGAGATGGAGATTCAGAAATGGGGGAGAGATGGAGAAGTCAGATATAAGGTGGGAGGAATGGGGGAGTTACAAATGAGGATTGAGGGATGGATGTTCAGATGAGGAGGGATGGATGTTCAGATGAGGAGGGATGGATGTTCAGATGAGGAGGGATGGATGTTCAGATGAGGAGGGATAGATGTTCAGATGAGGAGGGATGGATGTTCAGATGAGGAGGGATGGATGTTCAGATGAGGAGGGATGGATGGTCAGATGAGGGTGGGTAGATGTTCAGATGAGAGAAGATGGATGTTCAGATGAGGAGGGATGGATGTTGAGATGAGAGAAGATGGATGTTCAGATGAGGTGGATGGATTTTTAGATGAGGAGGGTTGGATGTTCAGATGAGGGATGGATGTTCAGATGAGGGGGGGATGGATGTTCAGATGAGGGTGGGTAGATGTTCAGATGAGAGATGATGTTCAGATGAGGGTGGATGGATTTCTAGATGAGGAGGGATGGATGCTCAGAAGACAGTCACAGTGAAGGTGCGGACGTGGAAAGCGACACAGACAAGCAGACAGAGCAGGTGCCGAATGCGCGAACCTCCGCTCACGGCAGGGTCGGCGCGCACAGGCACGCGAGTCACAAAGACACACAAAGACAAAGATCCCCCATATAGCCTGTAACAGACTGTAGGGGCAAGTGCTGTTAGCGAGCACCTATGAAGGCCGGAACGGTACACGAGGGGGTGTGTGGCCAGCACCACGCCCGACCGCCTTTGTCTCCCTAGTGGCGATGTTTACACATCGCACCAGGTACTCATTTGAGGCTGAGTCGACCTAGGGGAGGCCCGGGAACGGTTCAGATAATCGTCACTGGTGTTGGCCGTGAGCGGGAATCGAACCCGGGTCGCCAGGTTCATAGCGCAGCGCGCTAACCGCTACACTACCGCTCCCCACAACAAAGACACACACACACAGACACGGGCCTGCACCTGCTGGGGTGGAGCCGGCTGTGTGGGGGCCTGGCTGGACGACGGCGGTGGCAGCGGCGCTTGCGCGGACGTGGGGACGGTGGGCGCGTGGCTGCTGGTGGCGGGGACAGTGGCCTGCGAGAGAGCACCGGCGCGGCGCCGTTAGAGACCGAGACTCACGGGGAGCAACCCCAAAGCGCGCGGACGCTTCTCAGCGAGCCCGCTGCTTTGTCTTAGTTTGCTACTCGCGTTAAAAAAAACATGTTTCAAGGAACGGTGCGCTGTACCCGTAATGAATTGGCATGTTCTGTTTACCTGACAAACCTTGCTAAAATTGGCTGTGTCGGGTGATGGCGGGTTTAACGAGACATTTATATTTGCGCGATCTAACCCCAAAAAAAACCTATATTATGAACGGTTGTGGTTGTAAAATGTATTCACCTAACACCACCGTGCTTTTGAATGATGCCAAGGCATGTGTGTGTGTGTGTAGCTAATGGGCACGTGTGTGTGTGTGTGAGGGTGTACGTATGAGCGATTCTTTCAAATCTCTCAGCTGCGTTAAGGGAACATAACAGCATTGTGCATTGTTGTTGCGTATGTTTTATCTTCTCGTGAGTATTCACAAACAGGCACTTACCCGAGTGCTTGATTTTTTTTTGCATTTCCTATTTTTAACCCTAATCGTAAAACACAACACGAGATTGGGTCTGAATGCCAAACGAATTCAGAAACCAATTACGTGTGAGCAAATATACACGCGTGACTTGGGTAATCTAGAACGCGAGGTTTTCACGATGATAAATGATTAACAATACGTGTTAGATAAAAAAAGTAAAAAAAATCCAGGGCGGTCACGTATATTTGTAATTACAGTGCATCTCAATTCTAATATTTACCGATGCTTACTAAAATTAAGTGGAAGCGAATCGATTCCAGAATAGAAAGCGATAAGACTGTGAAAATAAAACGGGCCTCTGTGGCTTCTTGTGTAGACGTTTTTGGGGCGCGATACAACGTGCCGCAGGAGAACTGAAGAATAAACAAAACCGGGCGACAGCCCAATTATTACTTTGTTGTTCAAGTCAACGCTACCGAAAAGCAAAAGCTACTCCGCGATTTTAACAAACAAAGAAAAGCAACGCAAACCCAAACCGAAAAAGACAAACTCAAATCGCGAGCGTAAGGAAACAAAATGCGAAGAGGAATTAAAATGTTGTACCTGCACAGGGTACGGAGGAGTGTAGTAATAACCGCCAAACTACGAGGAACAAACGAGAATCAAACCAACCCATCAGACGAGACAGACCGGCGCCGGCAAATTAACAGGAGAACCAGCGGCCAGAAAATAAGCAGCCAAAACCAGCAGCAGCCCATGGACAGAAGACAGAAACAATAGAAACCCCTCTCTCTCGTCACCGCCAACAGCTCGACACACCAATCTCAGGCCGACAAGATGCCGTGAAAAAGGGGAATAATAAATAAACGTCGCTCAATTCGAGCCAACGGGATTGGATTAGACGGCAGCTCTATTTGTTATTCGTGCCGGTTGGGTAGGGCACGGACAGAATGTGTACCATTCTGCAGAGCGGTGGGCAATTTGTAATTTGCACGTGCGGATTAATCGGCATTACCGGAGACTCGACAAAGACTTGGGCACTTTGGGAGGCGGATGCCGCGGTGGTACAGCGGTATTGCGCACCGTGCCATGAACCCGATGACCCAAGCTCGATTCCCTGGCCACAACTCGAGATCAGTGGTGGGGGTGGTGGCTTCGTTCACCAAAGTGCATCGACCAGTGTGGTACCAAGCATTGTCACCCAACCCCGATGACCGCCACAGTGTGTGGTGTGGGGAGGGTGGGGGGGAGGCCTTCATTAGGCAGTAGATTGACAAAAGACTGTAGGTCATGATTATTCCTCCAGGATACACGGTTAGGGTGATGGGCAGAATTCCTTGAGCCAACACGATTGCGTCCGTCAACCGAGGCTTTTCCTTTCGACCCGTGAACACGTTTTATTTTACAGCCCGAGTCGACCCCCGTCCAAGTGTCGAGCCAAGCGGTGGCACACCACACACAACGTATCCGGAAGGATTTTCACAATGCAACCGCGCGCGCACGCATTGTTTTATCAGCCACGCCAACGCACAAAAAATGTTGCATTTGGTTCGAATGCCAACCGCTCACCTGTTGGGACGAGCCTGGGGGTAGTTGGCTTGGCTGAGCCGTCGGGCCAGCAGGTGGCATTTGATAATGTTGCGGTTGTTGCTGCAAAGGCTGCTGGGAAGTGGAGGTGGGTGGCAGCACTCCAGCAATCTGATAGATTAAAACAAAACATGCCACATCTTAATAAAACAGCCATGGCTAAAATAGGTTTGCCTACACGTTTAGATGCGCTGTACAATCTCCGTGGAGGGGGAAGGGGGGTTATTTCTTCATTAAAATAAAACACACATGATGCAATAAAATATTGGCATGATGATACTTTGTACAGGCTCGAGAGGCGCCGGTGTAGAATTTCAGTATGCACCGTCGCAAAAATGTCAAGATAACACAACACGACATGCCAAAAAAGCTGGTGTCACGCAGCTATAAAAAAAGTAAATAAATATCTAATAGCTGTATTTATTTTTAAATGTGCTACAGTCACCTCCACGAGCAACTGGTTATTAATGCCGTTCAGACATCCTCACCCTCTGCCAATTCCCAGTGCCCACATTTTAAATGGAGAGAGACCGTTTCCTTGCAATTGTATAAACTTTAATCTCAACAGCCGCTTCCTGCGACAGGTACTCGGATCGCTCGTGCACAACCAGAGTGACCTTCTTCTTTGGTTCTTTCGGTAAAGTCACGTAGAATGAGAATAAAATAATAAAATAAAACAATAAAGTTCTCAAGACGTCTTTTAGACGCTGCGAATCTTAGCAGCGTTCATTGTAGCTCTGTCGTCCCGACAGGTCTGTTCCTTTCACCTGAAGAAGGCCACTTGTGTTGTGGCCGAAACGTCGTGAGAATTTTATTGTTTTATTTTATTATTTTATTCTCATTCTACGTGACTTTACCGAAAGAACCAAAGACGATGAATCATTGCAGTCACTAAAGCTTTAAATCAGAGGGACCTTGTATTTCCACGGCACGCCTCGGCTTTACAAAACAAGCACTGTCTGTCCTCCTATAACGCGATGGTAGTTGCGTTCCTGAACACCGTGTTATGATAAATAATATATAATGTAGGGTAAAGCACAGGTCGCGATAACAGGCGAGATGCGTACACAGGCCGAACAAAGACTGAGGTAGCATCTAGATGCATCCCGCCTTGTGTGATGCTATGCCGAGGCAGCCGTAGAATGCTTAATCCTACCTCGCGCGACGGAGCTCCGTTCACTCAATCGCGTCCTATCCACATTGCATCCAGCGTTACAAAAAAAAATGTTCCCTAATGCATTCATAACCTCGTATCCAAATCGCGTTAAAACACGCGTTGTAGGAGAGCAGACTGTTCTGCTTTTGCGATAATTAGACAGGCAGACACTATGATATATTTATTTGTACTGAAAAAAACAGATGCGCCCCCCCCCCCCCCCCAATTTTTATGCTGATCTCGCCGTCACCGTCACAGCGCGAGATCGAGCGTTCGTCCATTCAGATGCCTCACAAGAAGAGCAGGTGCACCTCCAATTAGCGCGTTTGGCTACGCACGGTGCGAAAGAAGTTGAAACGTACATACACATACATAGAGTGTGGCCAATGGAAGAGGATATGTTCGAGACGCTTTCAAGTGACCTCTGTTCTGCAGAGTAGGGGGCGGGTCGGGGCAGCATTAATCCACCCGCGCCTCCACAAAGTGACGCTCGCCGATTTAATGACAGTCCAACCGGTGCTTTCATTCCCAAAGCTGGAATTTAGCCAAAAAAAAGTGCAGAACCCCCCGCCCCCCCACCATAATGCGATTGGTGCAAGCAGTCATCGGTGAATGGACCGACACCATCTTCTCACCACATCTGAGAATCCGGTTTTAACTCACAGGTGGCCGAAATCTGGATTCGTGTGCTAGCTGAGCGCTCCCAACTCTGAGAGGCACCTCGTGAAAAGGTCATCAATACCTGGACGGGTTAGAATTCCCCTGCCAGACCAACATTCATAGGTCCCCTCTCCAAGTCATTCCATTATTTCACAGGCCTCGTAAAATTATAAGCGAAATGTTTCAAACGTTCGGTCGGATAATAAAGTATTAAAGCTTTCGTGACTGCATAAAATTACTCATTGGTTTTTTCGGTAAAGTCACGTATGTAGAAATACAATAAAATTATATTAAAACAAAAAAACCAATCACGACGTTTCGATCACAACGCAAGCGATCTTCATCAGGTGTCAAGAACAAATCACGGAGGTAAATACAACAAAAAGATGAGAGACGAGAATTCGTGTTCCGCCAGGAAGTGTCTAACTGTGTTGTTGGCCTGACTGGATGTGCTTCACATAATGTTTTTTCAGGTTTGTTGAATTCTCGTCTCTCATCTTTTTTGTTGTATTTACCTCCGTGATTTGTTCTTGACACCTGATGAAGATCGCTTGCGTTGTGATCGAAACGTCGTGATTGTTTTTTGTTTTAATATAATTTTATTGTATTTCTACATTCGTGACTTTACCGAAAAAACCAATGAGTAATTTTATGCAGTCACGAAAGCTTTAATACTTTATTATCACACTTCTACGGGGAAGTTACCGTTGTAATTATGTGTAAGATGTGCCCTTTTTGAGCTGCCGTTTTGTATTTACAAGAGGTGGTCATTTTTTAAGCTGCCGTTTTGTATTTACAAGAGGTGGTCCTTTTTTGAGCTGCCGTTTTGTATGTGTAAGATGTGCGTGTTTGAGCTGCCGCTCTCGCTCTGGCCCCCCCCCCCAACCGTATTTCCTATTTAAGCTTCTGTTCATCCCTCCGCCCCCCCCCCACCTCTCTCTCTCCTGCCTCCCTGTCCGTCTTTCCTCCCTCCTTACCTCTTGGTGGACTTGTATATGTATTTCTACCGACCGTGTACCTCGTATTTTTCATTCTATCTATGCTGGTATGTGCAATCCAAAGGTTGAACACGAAATTTAACACTTTTCTGAAATTCGTGGTCCGCCAGGAAGTGTCTAACTGTGTTGTTGGCCTGACTGGATGTGCTTCACGTAATGTTTATTCAGGTTTGTTGAATTGTCGTCACTCTTCTTTTTGTTGTATTTACCGCCGTGATTTGTTCTTGACACCTGATGAAGATCGCTTGCGTTGTGATCGAAACGTCGTGATTTTTTTGTTTTAATATAATTTTATTGTATTTCTACATACGTGACTTTACCGAAAAAACCAATGAGTTCGGGCGGATCTTTCACAGAGAGTTGGTGAACCATGAAGAAGCGAGACCCCATTTCTAGTGTGCGGGTAAAGACACCCAAATTTGGTACCGTCCACGGAATGTAATTACCGCACTTATCAAAAACCTCATCTGCTCGAGCAGTGGGAAGGGCCGTTCGGAGACTCGGGACATCTGTCAAGAGAGCTTCATCCTTTTAAACCCCACGCAGCCACCCCGACCACCTTAACTAACCATCCGTCCATTACTATTTTCCACTAAATTAAACTTGAATGGCTTTTCTGCTGCTTGCACCACGCAAACATTTCCATTAACGGTGCCACGTTTGACCCCCCCCCCCGCGCCCCGTGCCGCCAAGGCGAGCGTCAAGGTCTGACGCACGGGCGTGCAGACCCGTATAAACGCACACAAAGACGAACATCGTAATTTCGCTCCATCAGCTGGGAGCTTCCCAAGTAAACTAAATTGAGTTCGGAAAAAATATACGGTGGTGGTGGTGGTGTGTATAAAGATACTTAATAGAGAGAGAGAGCGAAAGCAACACACACTCAGATGCAGAAGAGCCATAAGCAACGTGGATGACTGGAAGCAGGAATTCCGTGGGACCAGTGACAGAGAGAGGGTGACCTTCCATTAAAATTAACTGAGAATTCTTACAGAATGCCTTGGTTGCTGGAGTGGAGAGCATGCAAGTGGGGAGTAGAGAGAGACGAGGGGGGAAATGTAGCAGGGCTGCATGATGGGCAGCAGAGTGAGATGGGTTGGGAACAAGGAGGTGAGTGTACGGAGAGGAGCACAGTGAGATGAGAAGGGACGAAGTAGGCAAGGGTGAATCCATGGCAGATCTTTAAGACAAGTGAGGCAGATGTCACAGTCCATGTGGTCTGTTTAACACGTAGGCTTTCACAACCAATATTATATCCATAAGGTGTTTTTGTTGGGTTAGTTCGCAACTGATTGGCTCACAGTGACATCACATTTATCCCCCGTCTATTTAAGACCGAAACAGGAGGATGTCAATTTTTGCTGTCTCCTGATGAGGCTGGCTGTAATTACTGGCGAAATGTCACAGCACTCGATTTATAAATGCTATGGGTTTACTCCCCAACGCACCGGTGTGCTGAACTAGTAACTTACTTCTCACATTTTGCCTACGTGACAAACACACTAATTGGCTGCGTCGGGTGGTGGCGGGTTTAACGACAGATTTATATTTACGCGATCTAACCCAAAATAACTCCCCCCCCCCCCTCCCCCATCTATTTTGGAGTCGATGTGGTATTGGGACTGAGAGCCAATGGACTGGGAGCGCTGGTGTGATGATGTTTTTTTTTTGCTGGGCTTTGACAGTTCACGGTGTGCCGCGACATAGGGGGCAAGTTGACGGGACGTTTCGAACCAAATGCTTGAAGATTCTTGGCACCACTCTCACTGCAGCCGCTTGCATAACACACACGTGTGTTATACAAGCGGCTAATCTGCACGTATGTATGTTTTGTCCAGGGAAGTCCAAACAGCTGCACCTAGTTTCAATTTATGAATTGGAGCTTTTGCGGGCAAGGTCGATGTTTAAAAAGTAAATTGTCATCCGCCCAATAACACAGCTGAGCAATTGCCATGCTTATCTGCTACACTATTTACAAAAGAATGGGGCAATGCAAAATCTATTTAAAAAATATACAATTAATAAGCATAATACCATCTATATTTTTTTACCATTATCTTCGTCGCATGAAACTAGAGAGCATTACTGTGCTGGACATTGTGCAACCGTGCTGTTCTTATGTACGTTTAACTTATTTCGCACCACACGGAGCCAACGCGATTGCACAACAAACGGCGGTCCTCAAATCTCTTTCCAGAAAAAGGGGCCGGTGGCGGTGGCCGGACGCCAGGGCTATAATGTAATCCAGAGACTTCGAAACGATAAACTAAAATGTAGCCTTTCTTTCTCGTACTGCGGCAGCAACAACAAAAAAAAGAACCATGGGAGCGCTGCTGGATGGCTTGAACGCGCCAGCTTTTCACAGCCGAGTGCGGTTTTCCGGGTTTGCGCCAAAGCGTTTCTCCTTCTCTGGACTTCTCTCTCTCCGCACGCGCCGCTGCGGGATTTCTTCAACTCGCCGAACCGTCGCAGCACTCACTCACCCGCCTGCCTGCCTGCCCGCCTTGCAGCAACCTGCTGACTCGGCTGAACAAAATTCCGATTGATCAGCACCCATGGAATGCGGGCGGCGGCCTCCTCCAAATACACATTGTTCTATGCCTGTTTCATCCCGGGGGAAGGGGGGGGCAGCTGATTCATTTACGTACGTTCGTCCGAAGAGGCGTTTTGTGCAAACCCCCATTCTATGTTTATTTATGTGATAAAAAAACTCAATAATTCAATCGCGTTGATGTGGAGAATTTAAGTAACAAAGCAGATGAGTAGCCAATGTACTTTTTCATACATGTATCTTTCTACTACACAATCCATCGGACCCTCCACAGCCTTCTGGGAGCGAATTATTTCAGCAGTGCAAGCAAACTCTGGACCGGTTTTTGACATGACAGCGTCTCATCAGCAGTGTCAGACCCTGTTCTCGTATGAGGTGGCTAAACGCTTTCATAGGCTGCCCTTGGCTATGCTCTCCCTCGCATTTGAACTTGTTAGGAACGTGGCATTCAGTTGGTCGTTATCCATGGCATTGCCCACTGTACAGCCGGGGGGGTTGCTAGAGCGATTGGAACAACAGCGCCCAAAACACCGTACTCAATTCCCACGCAGGCATTCACAGGACACGGATATCATCATTCTGACATTAACGTCATGCATCATTGTATTATTATTTTTTATTATAATTTTTACAACTACTACTACTTTGCGTGTGTAATGCGTTGCATATGTGAAACATTCCAACCGTCTAAAACTTTTTCGAATGGTCAAACTTGTAGGTTGACTTTGACGAAATTTGTAATTAAATAAAGCTCACGCTTCAAAAAATATATACAACGATGCTTGTGTCTGGTATAAAGAATGTTTTGCGTGTGTAACGGAGATAACGTGAGATAAATTTCAGACGTTGCACTGACAGCAGTGTTGAAACCTCTTCACCGATTTCCCTACTCTGAAGGAGGGCCAATTTCAGTGCTCCAAAACGTTATGTGATTGTAGATTTTTCAATTTTACAAAACAGCAGTAGTGTTTGTTGATGATGATAATGATGGCTGCAGGAGTAAAGTATTTTCCAGCCAGGCTGCTTTAGACGTTATGTAAAATATTTACCAGACACCACCATGACATTCTGTGAAATGGTGGGTGTGGGGGAGGTGGTGTGGAGAGAGGGGTGGAAATCCAAACACAAAAAGAACAGGCCAGTGTTGCCTCTAGATTTTGAAGAGTGATTTAGAGAGAGTGGGGAAACATTAAGAAATACATTTTTTTTTTTAAACTGTGCGAGTGTTAAAAGGAAGCAGATGACAAAGGCACGCACAGCCAGACAATAGGACGAGCCGGGACGATTATCTCAACACATTTCCGTTCATATTCTTTGGGTCAAAGAAAAGAACAAAAAAACGACGACATTTCGATCGCAACACAAGCGGTCGTCTTCTTTCCCCCCATCGTCCTGTAGACGACCGCTTGTGTTGTGATCGAAAAGTTGTAGTTTTTTTGTTATTTTCTTTGAACCTATCTACGTGACTTTACCGAAAGACCCAAAGGATATGAATTCCTGCAGTCACGAAAGCTTCAAGTCAATATTTCCATTCATTCGATTCAATCGATTGTCTTTTAGTGCGTATATATTTATACGCTTCGACTCAAGAACGCGATGCAAATCCACTTTGGCTGTGGGCTTAGCGGTAAGAAGGGGGGAGCTGTCTGTACCTCTGATGGATGCCCCTGCTGCTGCTGCGTTTGTGCATTTGTCGTGGGCAAGAGAACACCTCCGCTCACCACCTCTGCGTATGTCGGAATGGGCATCGTCGCCAACGCCGCTCCTGCCGCAGCCGCCGCCGCCGCAGCCGCCACCACCCCCTCCGCATCTGCTAAAAAAAACGCACGGTCAGTCCCGACGATCACAAACTAAACTAGAAACCTTTCATTTTATTTTACCAGGAAAGGCCCACTGAGCTGTGTAGCTCTTTTTCAGAAGCGTCCCTGGCTGTCATAAATGACAGCTCAACCAACAGGCTTATCACATGGAAATATACAGCAGCCAAATACATACACCAAACGCGTGATGTCGATTCTAAACGTGGAGAGAAAAACCTGGAGGGACCCGGAGAAAAATCCACACGACCACAGGGAGAGAGACACCACAAACTCCAAATATACAGCAGGCGTCAGGGTCGCGATGGAACCCAAGGACAGGCCCACGGGCAAGCGCGTAGCGACGACGGCGAGCTCGCTGTGTCGCACACCGCCTGCCGGTGCAAACGTCCGACGGATTGCCAAGCTGCGTGCGCTTTCGCCGCATATCCCGATTCTTTAGCCGCTCGATGCGCTCTATGCCTTTACTCGTTTCAGGCAAACGCCACTCACGAGCGCTCCGACCGGGCGAGCAACGTTTTAAACTGCCCAGCATCGCGAGCAATTATCGCGATTTTGGGCAGGGGGGCGGGGGTTGGTCACTATGGGAATCAAGAATGTTATTTTTTCGTCTCGTTTGACCCCTCTCGTTTGTATTATTTCTCGCCGTTTCCACCTGCTTCGTGGAATTTCGTCGGCGCCGTTTGCCTAAAAAAAAGCACATTCGCTTGGCGCGTGCACACAATTCAATGCCGTGCATCGTGAGTGCGAAAAAATATATTTCAATCGACAGATCAGTGACACGCCTAACCAACGGGCCCCATTACACCTGCACTGCTAACGAGCGACAAAAATCGCAAAACCTTACCGGCTGCCATCGTGCCTGCCTCCTTCTGCTGCTGCTCCCCCTCCAGGTGCTGCTGCTGCTGCTGCTGAGCCATCATCGCGGTGGCAACCTGCGACCCGGGAGGCTGTACCTGCGCTTGCGCGCCCAACTCGCCCTGCATCATGCCGACCGGCGCCTGCGACGCCGTCACGCCGGCCGGCAGGGCCTGCGCGTGGCTCTGCGCCGCCTGACCTTGGTTCTGCGCTTGCTGGAGGTGGAGTTGAAGCTGCGGCGGCTGCGGCTGCTGCATCTGAGAGCTCGGCTGGATCTGCATTTGAGGTTGGCCCGCCGACTGCATCTGCGGCTGGGCCGCGGAGCTGGGCTGGCCAAACGACTGCGTTGGCTGCTGCTGTTGCTGCTGCTGCTGCTGTTGCTGCTGCTGCTGTTGCTGCTGCTGCTGCGAGGTGGACGGCACTTGCTGTCCGACGGTGAAGGATGCAGCGGCAGCGGCGGCCGCCATCGATGCCAAGCGCTGGGCGTCCTCGGACGTTTGCGGGATCGTCTCGTCGGCACGGCCGCCCAGCTGCTCACGCCGGCGCGTGATGAGCACGACGCGATCGCGGATCGACTTGGCGATGATCTTCACGTCGCTCTCGTGGATGAAGCTCAGGTTCACCTACGTGTGTGAGAGAGAGAAAAAGGAGAGAGGCTGATGTGTGCATGTGTGTTGAACTTCTTTCACACCGTACGTAGACCGAACGTACTAATCGGAGGTGCGGGGGAAGGACAACTCCAGTCGAACCCCTCGTAACGACCACCCCCTGTTCATGACTAATCGCTTAACGACGGGCCTCCATAGAGCCCAATGTGTTCACTTACCGACCATTCCCCTGGCAATGACAGTAAATATGAATCAATGCATTGATTAACCACGTTTCTTTTAACATGTGTTTATAATGTTGGTAGTATCCTTATGTAATCATATCCATTGTTTAAATATTATAAGGTACGTTTATTGGGTGAAAAAGGGTAACTTTCGATGGTATCTGAACGAATTCATCCTTTAACATGTATTGCCAATATTCGCTAAAAGACCAAATAAATGAATGACCGGATTCGTGGAACCAATAACCGTCGTTAAGAGGAGGACTTCTACTGTAAACACAAAAAGCAGTTGCCAATGAAGAAAACGGGAACGAAAAGTGAATGACGGGTGCACAAGGAAGATTGGAAAGGTGCACGCGAGGAATTCGCATCGAGAGACAGAGAGAGGAGGGGCGGGGGCGGCGTGTTTGAGCGAACGTAGCAAGGGGCGGGTTGGAGACGTCGCTTCACTTTGACTGCGGAGCACAGCGACTGCCCACCCCCCGTTCAGGACGCTGTCGCCAGGAGAGACGACGGGCCGGTGGTTGAGAGAGAGCGCCAGCCAAAGGAGGGAACCGCGCTCGAGAACACCGTCCACCCTGGAGCGTGGAGCCGACGATGAAATCGGCTCACGCACACGAGTTGGATGTATTGTTGGATCGTGACAGGTATGACGACCACTTCATCCAGCAGTCGATGGGCCATGGCGAAATATGATGAATGCATGCACAGTAGTGTGTATGTGTTTCTTAAGCCATAAATACGTTCATAAATCAATAAATTAATGGTTCAGTAATTTATTGATTTGCATTGAACTAAAATTACCAAACAAGCTGTCTCACGACTGAGTTGATAGTTGTAGTTTTGCTCATGAATAACTAAATATAATTAATTTGCTACTCATCATTATTAAAGTCAAACAAAGTACGAGCGATTGCTTGATGACACGAACACACGCGGAAACGTCAGTACGGCCAAATATTTCATCTTCCTTCCCCCACGGCGCTGGTAAATCTGGTGGGCAATTAAAGCGAGAACCAGGGGGGGGGGAGGGGGTTCGTGTCTCAGAGAACAGAGCCAGCAGCACCACGCAGACCCTGGATACGATTCCAGGTCTCAGCCACCTTGTGATTAAAAGCCGTGCTTCAAGCTTGGCGAGTTGATGGGCCCCAGCACACACCGACACGTGCAGCGAATAAATATTGTCACGTCAAAATGTACGCATTCACTTCCATTGAGTGAAATCCGCCTGCGAGAGAATACAAATAATTATTAGTTTGAATTTAATGTTAGGCAGGGTGAGTGGATAAAGTGTAGCCGCTGCCGACCCCCACCCCCGCTCCCCCACCACGAAGGTGGATAAAAGAGGTCATGGGACATGGTCTCAGAACAAACTCTTTGAAAGCCACTTCTGCGGGCCCTTCTCCAACACGAGGTTGCACGTCTCTGCCAGAGCTCCAAACTGACACTGCAGTGTCGTGACCAATGGTGTCACAACAGCAGCACGACTGCAATAAGGTTTGGGGGGGGTGGGATAAAAAAGCCAAAAAGGACAATGCCTGATGACAATGCCAAGAGCAGAATTGGAATAACATAAAAAGAGTTTTAACGCTTGTATTTATTAAATTATTATTCGTGACAACCTTGCTCTGGTAATGGAATGCCGCGACCCATTTCGGAATCCCTCTGGGATGGTGATGCGATGTGAAAGAAGTTCAACAAATGTACGTGCATATTGTGCGGTTTATTATTTTTGGCGCTCGAGTTCAAATAGCACGCTTCATACACTGCACTGCTAAACCTCTGCTTTCCAACCTAATTACAACTTCCATTTCCTTATATCTAATATCTACGGCCTACCTCTCAGTTGGTGGTGGTGGTAATTACATGTTTTTAACGGCAGTAAACTTTTTTTATCATAAATTTACAAAAAAAAGTAACTGATACGGGGAAAAACAATTATAGGGTTACACTGCACTACCGGCGGTTAAACGGCACAGTGGTGGAATGACCGGTTGGCACGCTACACCATGAACATGGACGACCTGTGTTCAACTCCCGACCGTGGCGAGCGATACTTGAACCAATTCCGGACAACCGGCACTGACCGGCGGCAGTGGAGTACGGTCCAACGACCCCCACGAGTGACGTGACATGGAGAGGCCTTCATGCAGCAGTGGCTTTGACAAAGGGCTGAAAATTATTGTTCGCTATTCATCAAATCGACAATAATTTGCATTGGGTCAAATGGCCTTGTTATTTCTTGCTCATATTCCAGAGAAAATAAATGTTACTCGTAGCTACAACAACAAGAAGGAAAACCAGCACTGGCTGCTAAGAAAAGCAGCTCAGCAAGAGCTAAAAAGCCAAAAAAATAGCTTCTTGCAAATTTGTGCCAAATTATAGTCCGAGAGAGACAAAAAAGAAATCACAAGAAATTATTTTTCATTATTCTTTCCCTCCTGTATGATTGAGCTGTAAAGTCAATCGCTCATGGCGTCCAAAACAGTGGGACAGACCGCCCGCTGTCTTCATAACCACTTTAAGGCGTACCCCCCCCCCGCCCCACGGAACCCAGGCAATGTGCCGCGAAGCAGTGAGCGACCGGCCGTGTGTTGAACAAAGGGCCTCTTTCCCCCCCCCCCGCTCTCTCCCCCCTCTCTCTCCCGCTCTATCTCTCTCCACCACTCTCTCTCCCGCATACTCTCTCTCCCGTAATCTCTCTTTCTCTCTCGCGCACTCTCTCTCTTCCCCGCTCTCTCTCTCTCTCTCCTGACCGCTCTCTCTCTCTCTCTTCCCCGCTCTCTCTCTCTCTCTTCCCCGCTTTCTCTCTCTCTTCCCCGCTTTCTCTCTCTCTTCCCCGCTTTCTCTCTCTTCCCCGCTCTCTCTCTCTCTTCCCCGCTCTCTCTCCTGACCGCTCTCTCTCCTGACCGCTCTCTCTCTCTTCCCCGCTCTCTCTCTCTCTTCCCCGCTCTCTCTCTCTTCCCCGCTCTCTTTCTCTCTTCCCCGCTCTCTCTCTCTTCCCCGCTCTCTCTCTCTTCCCCGCGCTCTCTCTCTCTCTCTTCCCCGCTCTCTCTCTCTCTTCCCCGCTCTCTCTCTCTCTTCCCCGCTCTCCCTCTCTCTTCCCCGCTCTCTCTCTCTTCTCCGCTCTCTCTCTCTCTTCCCCGCTCTCTCTTCCCCGCTCTCTCTCTTCCCCGCTCTCTCTCTCTCTCTCTTCCCCGCTCTCTCTCTCTCTTCCCCGCTCTCTTTCTCTCTTCCCCGCTCTCTCTCTCTCTCTTCCCCGCTCTCTCTCTCTCTCTCTTCCCCGCTCTCTCTCTCCTGACCGCTCTCCGCCCTCACCATCTCCTGTGCCACTTGCTCCGGGAGGTCCGTCTCCAGGTTGAAGCTGAACTCGATGGCTTCGTTCACCAAGTGTTTCCCCTTCAGCTTCTTGGGGTCCTCCACTCGCAGCCACAGATTCATCACCTGCTCACAATTGGGAAGAATCATTCCCAATTGTCATTCGGGTTAAGCGGTGTTAATAAATTGTCACTCGCACATTGGGAGCGATTATTATTTTTAGGTGACACCCGACTTACGACGCTTTGACTTACCTTCATTATCATCAGTATGGGAAGAGGAAATGTGATGCACATGCAGAAAAGTACTTAAGGATTTTCAATTGTGCTTGTTTTTACTGATATAAATGTTTGTAAAAGTTATATTTAGTTACAATACATGTTTGTTAGGGTTATTTTCATTTATTTTCGTGGTCAATTTTGGTATTTTTATGGTACGTAACGGGTTTCCAGGAACGGAACCCCAATGTATAACATTGCGCCCTATGGAAGACAAGGATTCGATTTACGACGGCTCTACTCGCTGACCGTCGTCCAGGAACCAATTATGTGATAGGTGCGAGGAGGGGGGGGGGGGTCGCCTGTACAACCAACACCCCGACGGATGTCGAAGCAACGTCAATCGAAGCGATTTGCAGGGTTAGGTGGCGAAGGCTGAGAAGCGGCGGATACGAGAAAGGATGGACGATGCTGTCAGCGATGTGGCGACATGCAGGTTGATGTGACGCAAAATCAGGAAGTGCTATTAATAATAAAGTGACGACGTATTTTGTGGTACATATATTCTTACACGTGCGTTCAGATTCATGCATTATTACCTTAACAATCGTTACTAATCCACGATTCAAAGCATTGTTATGCCGCTATGAAGAACAGTTTGTAAATTGAAAATGATTAATTGTCATCGCTAAAATATGGAGTGTGCGCCGCCCAGATTCAATTGTGCGACACGCGGGTCTTCTGACAGAACTAAAAACACTTACATTCATACAAACAATACGTTATTAATTCAAATTACTATTACCAAACAAGTATTAGGCATTCATTGGCGGCAGTGGCGGTGCAAGTAGCCTAGCCTAGTTTCTTAGATGTTTCCTTGTATGTATGTTGAACTTCTTTCGCACCATACGATGCCAACTGTGCTCATCGGAGGTGTACGGGGAAAGGACAAACAGAACACGAAAAGCCGTTCTAAAGAAATTAGTTTTCAATCTAGATTTAAAAGCGCACACAGCTCCGGTGACTTCAGAATAACATTGGAAAGGAAGAGCATTCCGGACGGCCACGGCCGCAACGCCAACCAAGACGGGGAAGCTACGGGAGCAAAACGACCATAGCGTCGATTTCCGAACAGCGTTTCCGTTGAAGCGCGGTCCGTTACCGTCTTGATGCCGTTGTCTTCCTCTGCCAGCTCCACCCGCACGCCGGGGTCTTCGGCGAAGAATGCGTGGCTGAGGAGGTCCTTGATGGAATACCTGTGGGGCGGACGGGGGGCAGCGGGGAACACGCAGCACGGCCGAGTGTCATCGGTAGGATTTTACAAAGCAACTAGTTGTTAAAAAAGATATCCCACGGATCCGTTGATCGTCGACGTCAAAAAGGTGTCTCTTAAGCGCACGCGACACGCGCATCGAATTACGCGTGCAGAAATCGCTTACGGATTAATTCACTTTTTTTTATTTATTTTACGAGGTAAGCCCCACTGAGCTACACAGATCTTTTTCAGAAGCGACCTGGCCACAAATGATAGTGCAAATTATACATGCATGCCTGACCCCTGCACGTATACAAAGAGTCCCCATAGAACCTTCAACAACTGTTCGGGCAAGTGCTGTGAACGAGCACCGATGAGGGCTGGTACAGGACACAAGGCAGTGTGTGGCGATGTGTACACATTGCACCAGATACTCATTTGAGGCCGAGTCGACCTCGGGGAGGCCCACGACCGGTTCAGATAATCGTCACTGATTTTGGCCGCGATAGAAATAAAACTGGGGTTGCCGGGTTCACAGCGCAGCACGCTAACCACAACACTACCGCTCCCCATTATATTGTATTGTATCCGCACCTCTGATGAGCACGGTTGGCTACGTACGGTACAAAATAAGTTCAACATACATATACGCACACATACACGTGTGTGAACACATAGAGTTTAATGTTTTATTGTACAAAAATTACATTTCGGATATGCGAGAGATAACGGGGGCTTGGTGAAGCCTTCATCCAGCCGTGGATTCATCATGGCAATTATTTAATTAAAACAATGAAAAACCCGATGGAAAAAACCCCGATGTTGCCAGCCTCAATGGATACTACTTACTCTGTTGTATGTAGGGTGTGTAGGTATTATATACCTACGCGGGGGTAAAAATATTTTTGAGGGTGGGGGGGGGAGGGTCAACAATTTTCAGAAACCTTTTATATCAACTATTTACCGTCCACTTTCTATAACTTTTTGGACTTCTGCAAGCCTCCTATAATTTTTTTGGTGGAGAAATGGACAAACGGCCCACCGGGCTTTCACAATAGCTTAGTATCTGTGTATGTATATGTAATGTTTTTAAGAGAAGTTTTGAAATATATTTTTTACCCGGGCAACGCCGGGTAATTACCGCTAGTTGCATATATATAAAACGAATAAATATTGTTTAAATGTGTAAAATGCCCACGAGGCAGATGTATCGGACCGCTGGTTTCATTATCTCGATTGCGATCGATGACTAATATCGTTACACGATGGCTGTGTAAAAAAAAAAAATGTACTTTTTTTTACAGAAACTCGATAACACTCCGAAGAGCACAAGCGCGCACAATGGTGCAAGTGTTTTCCAACAACCGTAGTCATTGGGAGGGGGGGGGGTGGTGGTGACCGACTTGATGCTCCGTCGCCGCTCCCAACACAGGAAGGAGATGGACCCACACACGGTTCACCGCCTCGCTCTTGACCCAATTTTCCGCATCTGCTTGGCGCTATTTCTGAGCCCCCCCCCCCACCCCCTGAGAGGGGGGGGGGGATCCATAAATGTCCCCTTTGCGCCAATGTGACCTCGCTCCCGGGTCGGCCCGGGAACCTTTTTCCGTAAACACCAGTTGCTTTGGTTGCTCGCCAACCGGCCGTCAGTTTGCGTTCGATCGTACCCCACTCTGAAATTTGTGCGAGAAAATAGAGCTTGATAGCTCGTCGCATTCCTCCAGTGTAAGGGGGCGCGCCACAGTGTTAACTACCTTGCCTGGTATACGGGAGGTCGTAGGTTCCCCGACGCCTGTTGTCATGTGGATTTTTCTCCGGGTCCTCTGGTTTCTCTCTCCACGTTTAGAATCAACATGCATTTGGAGTATTTGGCTGCTATAAATTTCCACCCGATAAGCCACTTCGTTGAGCTATCATTTGCGGGAGTCAGGTCGCTTCTGAAAAAGAGCTATACAGCTCAGTGGACCGGACCTTACCTGGTAATTTATAAAAAAAAATTTTGATAGCTTTAGGTTAAACAAAGACGCCGATTCTGAATATCGCCCGATCCCGTCGTTAGACCTCGGAAGCCAAGCGGTTGCTTTCGATCGAACGATCGGCCATGCACTTACAGCAGGTGCCATAAGGTTTACGGGGCTAGGTTGTGCAAGGATCAGCGGGGGGGGGCAGTGCGAGTTGCAGAAGGCGGCGAGCATAAATGTTGGAGCAACTTAGAAGCGCAACGATGGGTTTCACTGCACTGCTCTCCGCTGACCAACGTAATTTCAGCAAAGCAGCCTATAACACATGTGATTTCATTGGTGTTCGCCCATCCAAGTACTGGGCAGGCCAAACCCTGCCGGTGGGTATAAATATAGCAGCTTTAATAATAATAAAAAAAAGACTGCATTAAAGGCTTAAAACGCAAGATATATTTTCAAAAAGTGGCCCTGAAGCCATAGTAGACATACAATATTCGCGATCTCATTTTAATAAATGTTCAAAAACAGAGGCGCATTCCCCTCTCCCCAGCACGCAACAGCGTACGGCATATACACCCAGCTCCTGCGATGCTCGAGGAAAAGAAATCAATTCGCAGCAAGCTATTGCAGCCAGACAAAGCCAGATAGGCACAACATGAATTCTCATTGCGTTCCAATTAAGCAATTAGAGAATATGCACACGCACACACAAAAAAATCCATTACTCAAGCGGCACGAAATCCCATTAGGGATACAGTGCGAATAAATATGCGCCGTACCGCTCAACTTTTGCCTTCGAGTGCACGAACGTGCGCACATACACACACGAGCACGTTTTTCCAGACCGCAAATACACGACGCTGGTCTTGATCGTGGAAAATTTGGAATTCAATGAGGGCTCGGCTGCCAAATAAAGCATGGCCATTGTTATGGATAACAGCTGAGAATGTTGGTTTCATAGCTGTACGCATTTGGCGACAAATGGAAGTAGGCAGTGCTGGTGCACGCTGCAGCAAACGAAACCAAATTTAGTTTGCGCTATTTTGTGAGCATCCATTAAGGTCCCGATATCGACTCCCTTGCAGTCCCGAATGTCGTGGACCTTCTTGGAAGCCCTGCTCATCATTTCCAAGCTCAAGAGCCTCCTCTTCCTATTTTGCCTACGACCAACGGGACCGAACAAATAAATGTTCGCCGTGTCCGCAAAGCGTCCTGAGATGCGAGCTCACACTTTAGCCCGCTTACACAAATGTGTTTAGGCTGTTGTCTTTCCGCCGCACCACCGATTGGCATGGTCAGCTACGTACGAAAGAAGTTCAACATGCATTCACGTACATGAATACAACTCGCCGAGAGACACCGCAGCGATCCAGACTCGCACTGATTGCAGACTCGGAGAGCATCGGTCTCGTACAAGTATCTGTAGACTCGCACATACACCTTGGACAGTGTCTCTATCTTGAGATGCGGTCGCATAGGAACACTATGTAAATGCCAATTTTATTGTCGGGGGCCAGCAACACTCGCCACCGGGCGCTATGGTGGCGGGATGTTAATTACCTCGCCTGGTATAAAGGGGGTCGTGGGTTCGATCCCAATCCTGATGCCTGCATATTTGGAGTTTGCGTGTTCTCTCTCTCCACCCCACCCCCCCCCCGTGGTCGAGTGAATCTTTCGCCGGATCCTCCGGTCGGTTTTTCCCTCCACGCTGAGAGTCAACATCACACGTTTAGAATATTTGGCTGCGATACATTTCCACGTGATAAGCTACTTCGTTGAGCTATCGTTTGCGCAAGCAACGTCACGTCTGAAAAAGAGCTAAACAGCTCGGTGGGCCTTCTTAACTGGTCAAATAAAAAATAAATTGTTCAAGTGCTGATCCCCAAGCTCGATGGGACATTGACCATGCCGCGCCAGGTAGCAACTGACGTACTGGTCGAGTCGACCCGGGGACGCGCTCGATTCGCAAGCACAGAGGGTCACCGCCGGTTCGATTTGATCTGTATGCGAGTGTGTGGAACTTCTTTCGCACCGTGCGTAGCCAACCTGCGCTAATCTGGCGGTGCGGATCTATCTCCCAGCACGGCAGCCGAAACATTGGACCAGATTTATCACATTCCCCTGTTCACCTGGTGGTGTAAATTGAATTTGTCTCACCGGGATCATGACAGGTAACTGACTGCAACAGCAGAAGCAGCAGCATTGTGCCCCACGTGCAAGACAAGCGTATGCACACTTCATGTTCCGTGATGCAACTACCCAGAGTTAAATTTTGATTTAAAGCTTTCGTGACTGCAGTAATTCATATTCTTAGTTTTTTCGGTAAAGTCACGTTGAAGAGAAACAACAAAATAACAAAATATATATAAAACAATAAAAATTTTTTTATATATATATAAATAAATATGCCGTTTTCAAAATAAATTTATGCAAACCGACACACCTGATGATGACCGTTTGAGTTATGGTCGAAACGTCGTGAGAATTTTTTATTGTTTTATATATATTTTGTTATTTTGTTGTTTCTCTTCAACGTGACTTTACCGAAAAAACTAAGAATACCCAGAGTTAGTTCCTGTAAAAAAACACGCCGATGTAAGCACTCCATCTCACACGACAGACTTTCTCTCGAGCATGCTCCCTTCCGCCGGCTGTCACTACCGTTATTGTAAACAACCAGCTAGCATACGTTTCAGCGGAAATGCCCTGCAAAAGCCCATTTTACTCTTTGTCGAGGTCAATGCAATGCCTCTAACTTGCCCGTGTTCTCTCATCCATGCGTTCCTCTTCCAGTCTCGGTGCAATTTGGCAGGGATTGCCCTCGGCAAGAATGTATGTACTTGTGCAATTCGCACTTCTATACTTTAGATTTATGCGAATTGCTTACCTTTTCTCAATCTGGTCTAATAACATCGTTTGTTTGTATTATTCATTGACGTAACTCGCTGACCCCTGCCCATAAGTGGACTTCTGTGAAAAAAAAGAGATTCATAGCTCCTTAGATTTCCTCCTCCAGTCTACATAAAGATTCCAATTCTGA